TGGCTATCCTGGTAATTGATGATGGATGTGAAGACTGCACAATAATAGTCTGTGTCTCATTTCCTAAGTCAAGAAATGGATCTCCAGTTCAACTAAGATTGCGCAGTGCCACAGTCATTTATTCCTGGTAAATGAAGAGACAAGTAAACCTGTCTGAATGTCATCTACATTTGACTTCCTTTTGTTTTTTTTCCTGCTCATTTCCTAGTCTCTCTAGCTCCCTTAGTATTATTTCTCTCTTCTTACTTATGTCTGCCATCTCCCAATTTTGTAGAATCTGTGAATTTAATTTATACACAGGTAACATGCTACACGAGTCAGACAAATATCTCTGTTTAACCACTTTGGGCTAGTACTATAATATTCATATACTATAGCAACCAGGACAGTTTAGAAATTTGCAACAGAAACTGGTAACTTATGCTGCTAACAAGGGTTTCTAAAATGTTTCATATTTTAAATGCTGGACTTCTATAATTTGGAAAGAAATGCTATTGCCTGTGAAAGGAAAGATCCCACTAAATAGATAGATAGATATAACAATTTGCACTGAAGTCCGTGGGGTTTGTAAGTGCTCAGGACTTCTGAAGACCAATGACTTCAGTGGAAATTATACATACTCAGTGCCTCTTAGGATCAGGCCAGTAGGGTGTTATATTAATTCTACTTGTGGATGTGATGTATGGAGACTCGTCTTTCCTTACTTGCTCCCTCTTCAAAATGGAGAATGACCTTGATCATTTAGAAGGGAAAAAATATTTTCTTTTTCACTTTAAGTTTAGATGTTAACTGATCAGTGATATCTGCAAAAAGGTCATCCAAAGCTGTTTGCTATACCTCTATTGCTGATATTTTCACTGGTAGTGGCCAATGGTCAATGCTAAAAGTTAAACACAAAATAATTTAAAGATGTGTAAGAGACAGGTTTTGCATTTCTACTTCATCATTTTGACCCAGGTCAAATGTGGGAATGCACAGACATGACATTTGGAAAATTATTTGAAAATGAATGTATTTAAACCCTCATCTCAAAATGGATGGGTAAGAGAAATTTCACACACTTACATAATGGAGGAGAAAATCCACACCAGGAGTAACCATTTGAGTGTACATGTGGCACTCTGTTAGCTAATCAATAAACATGAGTAAAGGAAAAGAAATAACCTTCCTCCTGGATATAAAACTGGATATCAGATCTTAATAACAACTACTAATTAATAGCAGTAATGTTAGATTAAGAGAGTTTCAGTATACTTCTGTGATCGTTCTTGTACAGTACTTCAAGTCTGGTTACCACTGCTCATTCCTTATATATATATATATATATATATATATATATATAATCAGTTTATCTCTTGATAAATATATTTTGTACTATTTCACATTGTTACACTGACTATATTAATAAATTTTTTTTTTAAAAATCCTAATTTTATTTTCTATCTAATAATGATGTTACTCAGATCCTCTAAATGGGGTAGAAGTTGATGTGACTCACCCAGATGTGATCAGGGATCTGTATAATGCAGCCACTTAATATTATTCCTAAATTCTACCTCATATTTGCATGTTCTAGTTCTGGAGTTTGAGGTGGCACAATAACATATGTAATACTTTGCATTGTCTTTGAATAGGATTCAGAATTCTGATTTGACCTGAAACTTGTCTAAAGAATATCTAATTCACAGTTTGCAATTTCAAGGTGAAGTGAATGAATATTTATAATTTAAGAACTAAGTTTAGGCACTCTCCTTCCCTCTCCTCCACCTGCAACAGCATAAAAGAGCACACAGAAATCTAAAGCTACTTGGTAACTGCATTGCTTATGCTGTTTTAGGTTTTAGAAATGTCTTTCAGCTGCAATATAGGAAAAGAAATCTGAGACCTTGGTGGGTTGTGAAGAGGATGTTTCTTAAACACTCTTGGTTTAAACTATGCATTTCCCCCACAGATTACATATTTTTATTAAAAGTATGGACTCTTGATGTTTTATTCTCACTTTCTTTATAAGAATTTAATTTTCAAAGAATTAGCCTGCAGTACAAATGTTGTAATTGAAGCCAATTTAACAAGGTTTCAATTTCACAACTTGTGTCATAAAGTCTTGGTTTTGGATCCTAACACTGTGGGTCACATCCTTGGGATTGGCTGTTTGTTGCCTGGCACAAATCAGAGAAGTGTTGGGGGACACAGCTGGTGGGCCAAGGAGTAACTTAGCCTCGAAAGGGCCATTCTGGCACCTGAACCCACAGCTCAGCAGTTCTCTGACTCCCCTTCCCCCCCTACCAGTCATTCCCTGTTGTGCTGGAGTAAAGTGCTCAGTAATGGATGCTATAGAGCAGGGGTGTGCAAATTCCGGTCCTGGGGCCACATCCGGCCCTTCAGACGTTTTAATCCGGCCCTTGAGCTCCTGCCGGGGAGTGGGGTCTGGGGCTTGCCCCGCTCCAGCCAGGGAGCGGGGTTGGGGGCTTGCCCTGCTCGGTGCATACCGTGACTCCACACAGATCCCGGAAGCAGCAGCATGTCCCCCCTCTGGCTCCTACAGGTAGGGGCAGCCAGGGGGCTCACACACTGCCCCCACCCCAAGTGCCACCTCTGCAGCTCCCGTTGGCCAATTGCGGCCACTGGAAGTTGCAGGGTGGCGCCTGCGGATGGGGCAGCACGCAGAGCCGCCTGGCTGCACCTCCAGGTAGGAGCTGGAGACGGGACATGCCGCCACTTCCAGGAGCTGCTTGAGGGAAGTGCTGCCCAGAGCCTGCACCCCTGACCCTCTCCCGCGCCCCAACCCTCTGCCCCAGGCTTGATCCCCGTTCCGCCCTCTGAACCCATCGGTCCCAGCCCAGAGCTCCCTCCTGCACTCTGAACTCCTCATTTCTGGCCCTACTCCAGAGGCGCACTCCCAGCCAGAGCCCTCACCCCCTCCTGCAACCCAGTCCCCAATTTCCTGAGCATTCATGGCCCGCCATGCAATTTCCATACCCAGATGTTGTCCTTGGGTCAAAAAGTTTGCCCACTCCTGCTGTAGAGCCAAAATAGCTGGTTCGAGTGTTTTTTCTACAGTGGGTAGCCAGCTATACAAGCTTTAAAGCTGCTTTTCAAAACTGGGGTAGCAAAAATAAGCCTTAGCCAGGGCCCAGGGTCTGACCCTGTCTGCCTATGATCTCTATTATTTTCAGTGGTTTTACTCTTGTTTTATATGAATGTGATTGAAATGAATATCAAGCCAAGGGTTGCTAGCCCTCCAGGATTGTCCTGGAGTCTCCAGGAATTAAAGATGAATCTTAAAGATAATGTCATGTGATGAAACCTCCAAAATTGGCAACCCTAATCAAGCCAGGCTTACAGGTAGTTTAAATACCAGGTTTTTCGTGGTAGCTTAGCAGCTGCTGATAGAGGATATATGGTTTAGTCAGCTTTGAGGGATCGGCAAGGAAAGTTCTCATATAGATTATAGGGTTTTTCCCCCTCCTTCTTTTGGAGCATCTTGAAAGTCATAATTATACAACCAGTTGTGATGCATTATGCACTCCTGACCTTTCACTATTGTATAAATCTTCAGGGATTCCATTATTTTTGTTCCTGAAAGTATCCTTTTTATCGTAGCACAAATTACATTTTGGAGAAATAACCAATAATACATTGTGGTAATATGTGGATGAGTGGAAGATTGATCCTGTTAGTATGTTTTTCCATTGTCTGAGATATTAGAAACTTGATTATTTCATTTAGAAGTGCTGCTCCTATAATCACAGCCTCTACACTACTATAATCAAGTTGAGGGTAGTACTCTAATAGTGAAACCCTACTTCACATCCAAGGAGGAAATCTTGGATTCTAAATATAAAATCTATTCTGTGGCTTCCACATGCACAGCATTTAGTTGTAAATTTCATGAACAAGGGTAACATCAAAAGCTCTCAACACATTCAATGAAACTTCACGTAAAATATGTACAAGCAAACTGAAACATCATAACAAGCTGAGCAAATTAGGTCTGTGACCTACTATTCAGTTTAGAATGAGGTATCAAATAACCTCACCATCTGGTGTTATGTGATGCAACACACATAGGTATAAACTTACTGTCTTATCTTCCATGGAGTCTGAGTCAGGGTGTAAGTAGTATGACAGATTTGTTTAGTCATATGATAAATCACAAACAGGCTTAGGTTTGATGTTTCATTTGTTTGGGGTTACTCTGGAGTCTTGGAATTACCAAACTGTGTGTGTGGATGGTCCACTGAATTGCATGGGTGAATTGCAAGGAGGTGTGTGTGTGTGGAGGTGTGTGCATGCATGTGCCTGCTGACCTTAATATCAAAATTCAGTAGCTAAGCTACACTTACCTATCTCAAGCTAACTAATTTTACTGATCACCTGAAACACGAACAGTAATGGGAAGGTTAATGAGGATTGCAATTCTCCCGACAAAAGTAAAATGAGAATTAGCAACCTCTTTTTTTCAATTGAAAAGGGTTATCAGGATTTACCAATTAAATTACGAAGAGCCTTCAACTCTTTGTGGGATATCTGGGTCTGTCACATGAAAGCAATAGACTGCCAAAAACTTCTGAATGTTTTGGCATCTAAAATTGCTTGTCAATTTGTTTTTCTAATTTGACAGTCACTAAAATTAGTCCTTTGGGCTGCTTCTACTAATGAAGAAATTAAAGCATCATTGATATAAAAGTCATCAGTGCATTTTTGCTTATTTGATGTTTTTAGTTTTTTATTTAGTTTACAATCAGAAGCTATTAGAGTTTTCATTCGTTTTATAACATTATGAAGAAAATATTGAAATGTCAGTACTACAGTGTATTAGAGTAAGCTAGGTAAAGGAAGATTAAATACTATAGAAGTTAACTGTAAGGGGTAAACTTGGGGGACCTTTATATGTCTGATGCCTTTTGGATAGTTTGAATGGCATTTTAAAATGACTCGGGAAGTTCAAAGTTACAGTACCTGCTATCTTAAATAATAACCAGTGCACTTTTTCACAGCGAGCAGTCAGCTGAAGATCTTGCAAGAGTACCTGTTAATTCTACCAGCAATATCTTGAATAGGCTGTTGCTCACTTATGATCCCAGGATAAGACCAAATTTCAAAGGTTTGTCATATTTAAAAGACATTTTCTACCTTTTCAAGTTATTAACATTTCCGCACAGAATCTGTGGAAACTAGATTTCTGGAAAGATATAGGATTACATTTCTGAAAAAGGGGTGGGGAAACAGCTGAAAGATATTTACCCTTTTTTAGCCAATGGATAGATAGCATATGAATATTTCATGCTGCTAACACATGGAGTATTTTTAGGGATTTTTTAATTAATAGCTTTTTAAAATTAAATTATATGGTTTTATTTAGTATTTGAATACTGTTTTCAAGGCAGTGTATTTTTAAAACATTAAACAGTTTTACTTAATTTCTTTTAAACAGGTTCTTGTCAATGATCATGAAAATACTACAGAATTTAGGCCCTATAGTGTTAGTATTTCTAAAGCACACAGAAATTATAATTCCCTTAAATCTGTGCTAAGCCCTATTGCTGCATTTTGGAAATTAATGTGGTTCGTATGCTTAAGTACATGCCCTTAGCAGCTATCACTTCTGTGCTGTTATAATAATGACAGGAGTATATATCCTCTAAATAATATGTGAGAACTCTCACAGCTGCATCTTAAGTTTTCCAGGAATGAGATTCTTTCTAAAAAAAAACAATTTTTATTACACTACTTGAACTGCAGCTTGTGAGTGTGGCTTTTGCCACATTAAAAATCACATATAAATATGTGTGTGTAGGTATATAATTTTAACACACAAATACATAGTATGAAGAAAACTATTCTGGAAAGCTATAATCTTGATTGTGCTTTTGAGGAGAGTGCTACAGATATGCCATTACCACCTTGTCCTCAAGGTAAAGACTTTTCCTCTTCCCCATGGGAAACAGTTCTTCAGATATATCTACTCAACTCACTTTATAAACATATTAACCCCGCCCCCCAACCTCAAATACTGTAGATTCATAGAAACTAAGGTCAGAAGGGAACATTATGATCATCTAGTCTGACTTCCTGCACAACGCAGGCCACAGAATTTCACCCACCCGCTCCTGCGAAAAACCTCTCACCTATGTCTGAGCTATTGAAGTCCTCAAATCGTGGTTTAAAGACTTCAAGGAGAAGAGAATCCTCCAGCAAGTGACCCGTGCCCCATGCTAAAACCTGGCGAAAAACCTCCAGGGCCTCTTCCAATCTGCCCTGGAGGAAAATTCCTTCCCGACCCCAAATATGGCGATCAGCTAAACCCTGAGCATATGGGCAAGATTCACCAGCCAGATACTACAGAAGATACTTACCTCAGAAGAAGCCTCACTCCTTTTTGTTCACTATGGAAGCTTACTCAATTATTTTCAACAGTAGGCATTGTCACAGGGGTTGCATGTCCACCTAATAGGCTACTTGATATTCAGCAATAGGTAGTAGGCATATAGCCTAAAATCTTATTGCCAATATTTGATTCCTTCTCTCACACACACTCCCATTGCCAGCAGTCCAGAAAGAATCAGGACTGAAGAAGAAAGAGGAGAAATGTTACATCAATTCAGAAGGAGGCGATGTGGGAAGAAGAATATCTTCTGACAAGTGATTTGCCCACGTTAAAATATTTCTCAAGCGTGACTGATTTACTTGGCTTGCACATAGACCTGGCCTAAATCTGCAAGGTACTGAGCACCCTCAATGGCAGTGAAGGCGTTTGGAGTTGAGGGCACTCAGCCACTTGCAGGAGGGGCTCAGCATGGCATAGTATCAAGCCTGCACATAAAGCAGAATCTACACTTTCACGAGTCAGTCTTAGCAGCATAAATTGGAATAATATTTGTCAAGGTTCCTTCCCCACTCTGAACTCTAGGGTATAGATGTGGGGACCTGCATGAAAGACCTCCTAAGCTTATTCTTACCAGCTTAGGTTAAAAACTTCCTCAAGATACAAACTTTGCCTTGTCCTTGAACCCTATGCTGCCACCACCAAGCGTGTTAAACAAAGAACAGGGAAAGAGCCCACTTGGAGACTCTTCCCTCAAAATATCCCCCCAAGCCCTACACCCCCTTTCCTGGGGAAAGCTTGATAAAAATCCTCACCAATTTGTATAGGTGAACACAGACCCAAACCCTTGGACCTTAAGAACAATGAAAAAGCAATCAGGATCTTAAAAGAAGAATTTTAATTAAAGACAATGTAAAAGAATCACCTCTGTAAAATCAGGATGGTAAATACCTTACAGGGTAATCAGATTCAAAACATAGAGAATCCCTCTAGGCAAAACCTTAAGTTACAAAAAGACACAAAAACAGGAATTCCATTCAGCACAACCTATTTTACCAGCCATTTAACAAAAGGAAATCTAATGCATTTCTAGCTAGATTACTTACTAACTTAACAGAAGTTCTGAAGAGCATTCCTGATCTGTTCCCGGCAAAAGCATCACACAGACAGACAGACCCTTTGTTTCCCCCCCCCCTCCAGCTTTGAAAGTATCTTGTCTCCTCATTGGTCATTTTGGTCAGGTGCCAGCGAGGTTATCTTAGCTTCTTAACCCTTTACAAGTAAAAGGGTTTTGTCTCTGGCCAGGAGGGATTTTATAGTTCTGTATAGAGAAAGGTGGTTACCCTTCCCTTTATATTTATGACAATATTAATTAAATAAAGTGAATATTCGATTCTGAATCTGAACGTTTCCCATGTTGTCAGACCTTATTTAGGACACAAACAAGATTCCGCCGTCCCTGTCCAGGTTGCTGGAAAGGCTACCTTGTTGTGTCGGCCTATTACTCAGCCCCCAACCTGGAGGACCAAAGGACTGCTTTTCATCAGGTCCCTCTCTACCGTTTGACCATCCATCTTGAGTGACCCCACCAGGAATTAAAACTCCCACCAGCATAGCTCTCAGGGTCATTGGAAACACAAGCTGCCCCATCATGTCAAGTTGTACTCTTCACGGAAGAGTATATAAGAACAACCTTCAGATGAAGAAGCTGCAAAGGGCCATTTTTATACCCCAACACAACCACCAATCCCTTTACACACTCACACCAGACTTGCAGAAAGAACAGCCGGTCTGGAAAATCTAAGCAAATATGTCAGTATAAGTCACAAATCAGTGAAGAGACCCGAAAGTGTATGTCTTTCCTCTGTACATATGTTGTCTGTATCCATTACACTATATACAGGGGCTGGTACTAGATTGTGAGGTTAGTGATAACACAAAAGCATTACATTTGTAAAAGATTTGCAAAAGATTCCAATTTACTATTCATGTAGTATTTTAAGCTTAGAGATGTGGGCTGAGGAATTTTTCTAGTTTGTTATCACCAGAATGAAAATAATTGTCATAATTTTCATTTTAATGGGAGCAGGATTGGACACCATATCTTTAATCTAGCAAATGTATATTAGAAGATTAAAAGATACTGATGGCCTGATTCTTGTCTATATTTCAGTGCCAGAGCATTGTTAAGTGCATTTAAAAGAGGCCCTAAAGTGGGAGTAATTCAATTTAAGGACCCAGAATGATATAAATGGTCAGTAGCTCACAAGAGAATCAGGCCCTAAATCTTACACTGTGCATTTTCTATTTTTTTTCTTTAGGAATTCCAGTCGATGTAACAGTCAACATTTTCATTAACAGCTTTGGATCAATCCAAGAGACAACGATGGTAAGTGTGAAATTTGAATATTTGCATACAAAATTTCTTACTAAGTTAAACTAAATTAAATCTACTTATCCACAAAGAGGATTGTATCTTGTTGTTCATAAATTGTGAGAGGTTTTATTGTCTGATGGATTCAAGGCCTAAAAAATGACAAGGAGTCTAGTGGCTTCTGAGAAGTGTGAAATGTGGGTCTTCCTTGCTTAAGATATTCAGCTCAGCAGGAGAATGTGTATTAGTGTGAGGTCAGTGACCTCCCTGAGACACAGTTTTGTCACTTATGCAATCTTAAGGTGAATGTTTGGCCCATAAATGAGACGCATAGAAAGGTGATCATGCCAAGAGCAGAAGGCTGTGTAGTGTACAAATTCTTAATTTTCCAGGCACCTGAAGATATGAGTAAGCACAGTGGAGGAAGGTAAAGAAATGCAATATCAATGCACAGTTGATCACACGTATACCCATGTTTGTTACCCAGGATGAGCGAAAGTAAATTGAGTATTGATAAAAGACAGATGGTAATGATTGGGAACTCCCTACTACAGTAAGTCATTTTGTGACTGTTGTAGTTTTTCTGAGTGCCAGCGTGAGAAGCATTCTCTTATGGACATAAAAGTTGAGGAATATTCAATAGCTTAGTCCTCATTGGACCCAATGACATTAGCAGAAGTAGTGTGAAAGACTTGCATTTAAGTTTGAAAAATTTGGAATTTGGTTTAAGAAGGGAGAGTCTAAATTTAAAACTTTTCCATTTATCATAGTCTGTTCCAATTTTATGCTCCCTCCCCTGCCCCATCCCACTGTTTGGATTCATATTCAGTAGTCAGCAAATGCCCAGGCCAACTATTTGGTATCAGGTCAAATACCAATAACCTACATTCATCACACCCGTGTGTGCGCATCCTATATTGCATTTGCTTCTCTTGTTGCCATATTGCATTATTAACTCACTCTCTCTGTGTTACTGCTTTTCAGGTTTTTCCCTCACACTGAATATCTTCTTTTGGATTATTTCTCCCCAGAGATATTAACATGCTTTTTTCAAGATGAATCTAATTTGTGTGTTTTGCTCATTTTTTAAATCCCTTTAAGTCCCTTTTATATTATATCTCTGTCCTCATTGATGTTTGAAACTCCTCCCAATTTCCTACAGGATTGCAATTTCATCTGTGAATTTCATTAGTATGACATTATTTCCTCTCCTGTATCACTCAGGAAGATTTCATTTAAACAAACTGGATGTAACACAAATACCTGTGGTAATCCACTGGATTCCTCCCCCAACTCAGTCCTGCTATTTTCAGTTATTATTAGCTTAGTCATTCAGCAGGAGTTGATTTGAGTATACATTTTAGGAGACACAGTATCAAGTACTTTATTAAGGCCTATATACCCCTGTCATATATCTACTATTTTCCTTACATCCAGTTTTGTGGCTCTTTCAAAAAAAAAAAAAAGCAATCAAGTTTGTCAGGCAAGAGTTTTCCTTTATTAAATCCTCACTGCATATTAACCACGGTTCCACTATCTAAAGCCACGATTCTTAAATATGTGCCAAAAGTTAGGCTCCTCAATCCATATTCAAACATCTAACTAAACAAGGATCTGTTCCGAAGCCCTTTGAAGTCACTGGGAATCTTTCCATTGACTTCGGTGGGCTTTGGATCAAGTCCTTAGTTATGTGGTTTTTCAAAGGTGCTGAGCACCCACCAGCTCCCTTGGGAGCTCAGCAGTTTTGAAAATCAGTCCATTTACTTCCGGCTCTGATTTAGGAAAACTTCCCTGTTAAGAACAATATGTAAGCACATGGACTACAATATAAATGTTAAATAATAATAGTAAAAGCCCATTTTGATGTCAATGGAACTTAAGCATGTGCTTAAAATTAAGGACATACATAAATGCTGTCTTAAGACAATTTCAGTGGGATTGCTTAAGTGCTTAAAGTTGAGCATGTGTGTAAGTGTTTGCAGGGTCATGGCAGTAAGACCTGACTTTAGGCACCTATATTTGAAGATTCTGGACATAAACTTTTTTTGTTTGTTTAGTAAGGAGTAAGTAGGGAACTTGGATGGATTTTATTGCAAAGGATAATAAATATATGCATTGTATTATAGGAAAGTGTAATTGAAACAAAGAATGTAAGTGTGCTCAAAACAACCTTAGGTTTATTTCTGGGGAAAAGAAGATTGAGGGATAAATGTGAAAAAAGCAGGAAGGTAAGAGTGAGATAAATGTTTAACGTGTCAGGTATATTAGGCCAGATGGTCCTTTCATGTTTCTAAAATTTATTGAACACTTTAAAAAGTGACTTTTACAGAGGTTTCTTTATGATTCTCCAAGGACCAAATGGTAACAAAACATTGATGTAATGGATGTGCCTGCAAAAAAAAAAAATAAATAAAAAAGCCTTGCAACCAATTTGTGCACAAAAATCATGTATGGTTATATGAAAATTGCTTGGCTTGAAGTATATTTATCTAGTTTGATTATTCAACTGAGGTTTTCTTGTGGGTCCAGCCTCTACAGGTACACTTAAGAACTTGACACCAAAAATGAGGTATCAGGGTTAGGGTGAGGAAAGGTGAGGGCAGGGCTGGATTAAGGCCTGGAAAGTATAGGCTCATGCCTAGGTCCCCTGCTTTGCAGTCATCTGATTACAGCACTTTCTGCATTAATTTAAAAGAAGAGTGAGCTAGAAAGTTTCTAGTCCTCAAGGTTAAAAAGTAAAGCTTTAAACAGTGTCCTGAGTGTAACCAATGCAGTGATGTCTGCCTGAGTCTGCAGACAGCCTGAAACAGTTGCTTGGAATGGGAGGAACTACCCCTTCCATTTCAAATTTCAGTGGGCTGTTAACTCCAAGGTACTCTCTAAAACTCTGGGGGATCCCTCCAGCAACATCCCAGAAAAAGACTCTTTGAATGTCAGGAGAAGAAGAGTGCAGTGGGCCTAGCTCAGCCCACCTATCCAAGCAGATATACTCTAGCTATTATGGAAAGCACTGGATTCTCCTCTACTGACCCTGACTGGCCAGGGAGCAAAGGGGACTGCCTGTCACTGCCTCTCCTACTCTCCAGGGGAAAGAGGTCCTTTTCTCCTTGAAAGAAGGAGGAGCCCCCTTCCGCTGCCACTCTGGTGGGTGGGTGGGAGGCATATCATGGTGTGCCTATGACCCTGGATTGCCTTAATTAAGCTGTAGGTGAAGGAGATGGTTGAGCTTTCCTGACATACACCAGCCATATCCTCCCAGGGATTGTGAGGGCGGGGTGAAGAGGTTGAGACAACTAACTATACAATGTTTGGAATTTGTTATATATTCACCCCTAGAATTCCAGAGTACCATACTCAAGGCCTTTACTTAGGGTGAAAAACTGGCCCCACTGAAGTAAATGGAAAACCTCCTCCTCTTCTTCCCATTCAAAACTTCGAACAAAAGGGATTTTTTGAATTTTCACATGCTTCAGGGAAAGCTCAAATCTGTTTTCTTTTAATTTATTTATTTATCTTAATTTATATCAGAAATAATGATGTTGCTTTCTTTCCTAATTAACATTGCAGTTAATATAAAAATATCCCAAACTTTCCTATTATCTAGTAGATGATATTTTGTAGCAAGGAAAGCAGTATTGGCTGTCTTATCTGTCACACCCTATGAACTGGTCTGGCCACATGCCCACTATTCAGCAGGTTACATTTCATAGAAGTATATCCTCTCTCATTCAGACTGCAAAAAACTTTCCTCATGCTTAATTTTTCATAGGGGTACAAAATGCGAAGAAAAAAATGGAGAACATTTCCATGACATTGTTTTGGCAATCCTAGCTCTAATGCTGATGAGCAGCAAAAATTCTCTTCCATTACAAAGACGAGAGGACTAAATATAATAAATAATAATATTATTTTATTATTAATAAATAATGGAAACAGCAAAAATATAAGATTTTTTACCCTACTCTAACTTAAAGATGGCAAAATGTGTCTCGCGCAGCCCCCTTTCTTACCTACCATCTATAGAATCTAAATATAGTGTGAATACCTCAGGGTTAAACTTCACCCCGCAAATTAATGATGATATAAACTCTTCCCAAAATAGATTTATAATAGAAATGCAACCAGGTACTAATTCATATTCTACTAAAATGAAAGCGCTAGATCAGGGCTTAAATCAGGTCTGGTCTTGTACCATGAACATCTCTGTTGCTCCTCCAGCTCCTGGATCCCATTGACATGGTGTGGCTCATCATGCCAATACCTTCTACTCATTTAGATCTTGATCGTGCCCCATTAAAGTTAATGGACGTTTTTCCAGTGACTTGAATGGGAGCAGGATCAAGCACTTAAAATCCCTCCTAAGAATTCACTGTTCCGTTGATGCCTATAAGAAATGAGTTATGATTATTATGAAGAAAACAACCCTTCTGATATCCATAACTGTGATTTTGCCAGTGCATCCTGTCTTCTGTGTATGTAATTGTTCAGTCCCGATACTGCAGTGACTTACACATACTTCAGTTTCTGCACTGTGAATAGTCCCACTGACTGTATGGTTATGTCTGCACTGTAGCTGGCCTGTGTCAGCTGACTCGGGCTCCTGGGAGAGGAGAGGGTGACCGAGCCTGAGCTCTAACCTGAGCCCAAACATCTGCACAGAAGTTTTATAGCCCTGCAGCCCAAGTTCTGTGAGTCTGAGTCTGCTGACCTGGGCAGCCACAGGTGTTTTAGTATAGTGAAGGCATACCCTAGGGCAGTGGTGGGCAATCTGTGGCCTGCGGGCCACATGCAGCCCATCAGGGTAATCCTCTGGCGGGCCGCAAGACCGTTTCTTTACATTGACCGTCTACAGACACGGGCCCCTGCAGCTCCCAGTGGCCGCAGTTCACCGTTCCTGGCCAATGGGAGATGCAGGAAGTGGCAGCTAGCACATCCCTATGACCCGTGCCAGTTCCTGCAGCTCCCGTTGGCCAGGAACGGCAAACTGTGGCCACCGGGAGATGCAGGCAGCCGTGCCTACGGATGGTCAGTGTAAACAAACTGTCCCACAGTCCACCAGCAGATTACCCTGCCGGGCTGTGCCCTAGGGGGCTATTCACAGAGCACAAAATTCAGAATTGAAGCCTTAGGCTGTTAACTCAGAGCAGATAAATTCCTTTATCTGTGTGCTTTGTGCCATAAAATAATAATTGCATGTATGACTCCTGTTGTAGTTGGGCCAAAATCCTGCAACCAGTTCTTTGTGAATGCATTTTGCTGACCCCTATTAACTTTAGTAGAGGTCTATAGGGGAACAAGGATTTGCCTGTTCAGATGTCATGTAGGCTATGCCTGCTCTACATAGTTGACCCAGCTGATTGGCACTTGATTTTGACCACCTGGGTTAGCCTAGCCTGGGTGAGAGCATCTCCACAGCAAAGCCATACCCATGTTACAGTGTCCTAACTGTTTCTGCACTCTCCTGTGTATGTCCGGGGTATATCCCAACTTCTTTTGTGCAGAGAGGCAGTAGGACGCTTTTCCAGTCAATTATCTCAATTGTGGGAGAATTTGTTTGTACTTTGGGGGGAATTTTGAAAAGGGCACTGGAGGACTTGTCAGCACTTGTGTGATTGATTTTTTTTTTTTGGCCTGGATCCTCACTGCAAGTGGGCAGGCTCCAGCCCAAGCTAAAGCAGAGTCCGGGCTCTAACCTATACCCTCAGCCTGCGTGAGGTAGCCCACACTTAAGGCACCTTCAAACCTCGCTCAGAGGTTTTTCTGTGTGGACAGCAGCGGAGCTTGGGTAAGAGCCTGGGTTAACTATGCAGTGGAGACAAACATACACTTAAGGATCAAGACCTTGATGTTTTGTGTGTGCAAAGACAGAAGGCTCAGGACTAAAGGGTGAACAAGGAAACTTATTTATTAATCGGTGAGTTAGATGCTGTGTTTGAACACTTAGCTTTTACCAGCTGTTTTTTGGTGGTAATTTGAAAAGTAGATTTTTGGAGGAGCTCCATTTTCAGTATAATCAATAATGGCATGCAAGTGAGAATAAACAATGAGTTGTATTAATCACAAGTGGTTTCAAAACAATTAAGTAATTTCCATTGAGAAAATAAGTCCATGTGGGATGGGAATTTCAGCAACACAAAGAGCAAACAGAGCCATAATTATACATGTAATTGAAAAGATACATTTGGAGATATAGAGAATAGCCTGAGTTCTCATGTATGTTTAGGCTTCTTTACACCATGTGGCAATACAAAGGGGCCTACATTAACTCCCACTATGTAAGGCCCTTTACACTTCCAGAGTGGTATAAAGTGGGCTTTAACGTAAATGAAAATAAGGTCATATATCATTTTCTCCAAGAACAGACAGTCAAAAAGCCATACATCTCTAATATTAATTACAACTTTTCCAAAAGTATGTCCACCTTTTTACTTAATAAATTAATATTTATTATTATTATTAATAATAATGTTGTATTAATTCAATTTAATTAATATTGCAGTTTTTTCCAGTTTTGATGACTTTCTGTTATTTAAAGTTACATTTAGTCATAAATACAATATTTTGGAAGAATGCCCAGACTATATTAAGAGAAAAGAGACTAACTTGTACAAGAAATGATCTTTTATCATTGGTTTGGCACAATGACAAATCAAAATGTACAAAGAATATCTCCACTAAATGACAATTCATCCATAACAATTTATTATCATTTGTAGACCAGTGGCAGAGTGTTCTCTGCTATACAAGGAATGAATATCATGACAGATCCTATCCCAGAATGTTTACTCTCTAATAGACACACATAAAACACAACCAGTATTACAAAACCTAGGGCAAGGAGCTACTCTAGATAAGGGTTTTTTGCTTTAAAAAAATTAAGATAACTCTTATCCCCCCATTTTTGGTTCACAATATTCATCTATCTCAAACCTAAATGAACAAGCAATAAGGGTGAAAATCCTAATTGACATTCTGGATCAGATTGTTCCCTTGCATGCACACAGCTCTACTGAGGATGAAATGCATGTGGATACTATTGTGCCTTCAGACCCATGCTGCTTCAGTTCCTGAAGGCAAAATTAGGCTCTCTCTGGGCCTGATTCTACTACAGTCCATATTCAAACAAAATTCCTGCTGGATTCTGTGAAATTTTTGCCTAAGGTCTTCAATATTGGTCTGTCCAGGCCAAATTCCATTTTTAATTGTGCCTATGCTATCTCATGGGGTTCAGTGATGTGCAAGGCGGAATGGGTGATCGTCAGCTAGCTTCAGGGGCTATTTCAAGCTCTGAGGCTGCTCTAAGTTACTCCAGGAGTATAACAATGATATTCCTCCAGTGCAGCAGTGGACTGACACCAAAATTTAGAAACATGTTTCATTTTTCTTTCATTTGTTGTTTATTCTATGGGTCCTTAGTATTACTTCTCTGCTCTGTTTTCTTCTTTGACAATGTAATGCCATATTGTTAACATACCATCTAACCAACTGGAGCATGTGCTGCCATTGACACTTACCAGGTCGTTGATGTAAATGTGAAATACACCTGGGCCCTGCCTGATACCCTGCTGCCTGAAATACATATATACTGTAGAAATAGAAGACCACACTCTGTCCTCATTTAGACATATGGGGCACCACTGGTGTCATTGGGGCTGCACAGATGTGAGTGAGGGCAGAATTTGACCCATATTATTTTAATTTAACATGGTTAATCTTGAGAAACAAAGAATTTATGTAACCTAACTTTATGTATCTTTTAGCTAATTCCTTTAAAATCAAGAAAATTTGTGTGCTGAAGAATGATCAGCTGTATCCATTATAGGAAAACCACAAAATCTAAATGGATCTTTTTTTCATTTTCGAGCCTGCATGTTTGTTTGTTTGTTTCTGTGTTGTTGTTTTGTGGCTAGATTAATAAACACTTGCAAATTCTTCTCATCAGGATTACAGAGTTAACATCTTCCTAAGACAAAAGTGGAATGACCCCAGACTTAAATTGCCCAATGACTGGAGGGGTTCAGATACACTGACAGTGGACCCTACAATGTTTAAATGTCTGTGGAAACCAGACTTGTTCTTTGCAAATGAAAAGAATGCCAACTTCCATGATGTCACTCAAGAAAATATTCTTCTATTTATATTTCGGGATGGAGATGTTCTAGTCAGTATGAGGTACTGTGTTATTTTTAATTGTAAATATTTACTATTGGTTTTATTTAAATAATCTTCAATAAGTTATTTGGTGTAGGACATACATCTTGCTTTGCAGCTTAGTAATATGTATAATTTACAAAGATAATAATTGGTAGACCTTTCAGCTGATATTTATATTAAAAATGCAGAAAAATAAATCAGAGTAAATTCTCATAAAACTACAGATTCTAAAGCATATTGATTGATATTTTGACTAGTATGAAGGATTCTGAACCCTAGGTATATATTAGATCACTATTAGATCAAATGTAGGTAAAATAAGATTTTACACAATGGAATAAAGATCTTAGCGAGATAGTTGGCCAAATTCAGCAGAAGCATAGTGAAACTGACAATAATTAGGGTCTTTCAGAGTAAGTGATACAATTTTCAGATGACATTAGATGCCCATTAATAAGAATTTGATTTATAGCTACTAACAATTGCCGCAGCCAGAGGCAGAAGGTAGAGGGCTGTAGAGGGTTGTCCATTGGTCTGTAAATGTAGCAGGAAAATACTGATTTGGGTCAATGTAATACTGGATATAAGTTTTTCAATGGATCCAAATTTTTTTTATTAGAAGACTGTCTTACAAATACAATGAAACTTTTTATTGAGGATTGAGTTAGCAGTAAGAGACACACAACGGAAACAATATGCCATAGTATAGTTAAATACAGAGGCTTGCAACCTTATTAAAATTACTGACCAATGTGGAACCCCCTCCCCAAACTACCTAGCAGGGCTGCTCTTGTGTGGGTTTCACCTGGCATCAGTGCCCTTGAGTTCTACAGACCTGAGGGTGGGTATGGGAGCAATGCCCCCTTTATTCCCTCAGGCCTGTCTGGAGACCCTGGTTGGAAGTCAGAGTCGCAACCCATTCCTCTCCCCCACACAAGAGGTAGAAGAGATGAGGAGAGCCATATGCTGCATGAGACATAGAGGCAACCCCATCACTATGCAGTTGCCCAAGTTGTTCATGCCCAAGCAGCCCACTGGGTTACAGAGACCTCAATTCAAAAGTTGCAACGAATGTAATTTAAATTCCCCAAGTAAACCTTCCAGATGCTGGATAGAAGGTGATAAAACCCACAGAGCAGTTTGATAGTTTTCCATGTGGGAAAACAAAAATCCCTTCCAGACAAATCCCCAAACAAAATTTGGCAATCAGCCTTACCCTGGCATCGTGAGATCCAACTCTCTACACAAAAGTGGGCCTGGAAAAGAGCCTAAACTGGCTACTTGCCAACAGCAAGCAGAAACAATCTTCCCCCAGTCCAGCAGGTGAGAGCCAATCAGCTGGCTTATCCTGACCCCCTACTGCTGTTCAGTGGCAGCAGGAGCAGACAGGACATGGTCCTCCCCGTTTTCCTCCACAGCCTGGTGTGGGAGAGGGAATGAGAAAGAAGCAGCACCCTCCCCATAATGTAGTACTTCCCCAGCTGCTCTCACTTGAGATTTCCCCCTCCCACTACCTAGGGTGTGGGAGATGTCCTCCTGGACCCATCAAAGACACACTTTGACTAGTGAGGTGAGCATTTTTTCCCTCTAAATGTTATCCATTAAAATCTTATTGCACTATTTTTAAACAATACAGAATTTAGCTGACAAAATACATGAATAAATTTTGAATGATGTTTGTTCAATACCTCAATATTTTGGAATCAGACTCTGTGACAAGAGAAAATTATTGAGGCTCTACTCTATATACTCTTGTTATTTTTGTACTTCTTTACATTTAAAGCAATATATATATAATCTTACTCTACTTCGTTATTTACAAAACAGTTCAAATTGTGTCTAAAATCTATTTTTCCATTCTCAGATTATCCGTTACTCTGTCATGCCCTTTGGACTTGACCTTGTTTCCTATGGATACACAGCGTTGCAAGATGCAATTGGAGAGCTGTATGTAAATCAGTCTATGCATAAAAATAGTTACCTTCTAGGCAGGCCTGAAAATCAAACAAGAAATATATATGTTGTTTAGTGTAAACATTTCTTAATAAATTTTAAAATTAATATTCCATGACCATTACAAATTAAAATTTATGGTTCTTTCCTACAAAAAAAATATCTAATTTTTATGGCACCATTTGTTCTATTTTTACATTTTTTCTAACAAACACATAATGACACTGTTTAGCATTTCTGAAGACATTTAAAATGTATTGGGGAAAATCAGGACATAAATATCATTTGGAAAAATGAATTAGTAGTTTCCTCAGGTAGTTTTAACTTACATGATGACCACTTCCTCTGCAGAATATTTTGGGATAAATTTGCTCTTGTATTATTGAGTGTAAATCTACTGAATTAAATAGGTCTACACCTGTTTATAATAGGTTTGAATTAGGTTTTATATGTTTAATTAATACTGGGCCCAATCCTTTGATTCCCAAAACACTTGATATCAGTGGAAGTTTGCCTGAGAGGAACTTCAATATAAGGCCCTTTAGCAGCATTATAGAAATCATATTTACTCAAGGAAGAAGTATTCATGAACAGTTTTCTCCACTTTATTAGAAACACTGACCTTTCTTTAATACCAGACGTGCTAAATTCAAACAGGTGAGGAGGAGGAATTGATTATTACGCTCTCCCTTGAGTGACAGTGTCATTTAAGCTTTTGCCCCTTTTTATTGAATTAGCAACAGTAAGAAGTTAGCTCATGGCATAACTACCTGTATTCCCTTCCAGTTCCAACAGTGGGGATGCTTCCTTGTTTCACTTATTTGTTACACATAAGATGTTTTATTTTACTTAATTACTTGACTAATGGAACTTCCAAAATCAAACTGTTTCTTACATAGTGTCAGTCTTTTTTAAAAAAGGTCACCATCTGGAGAAAAAAAATCATGAAATTCAGTAAATTAAATGGATTTGACTATGTGCTCTTGAATTCTAGAGCAATCTTATTAATGTGTCCCTGATGCAAGGTCTCTGGATGCATTTTTCCCAATTGTGTGCATTTAGGTGTTATTCTGACCTCAGATTGAATACACGCATGTCACAAAATATTGGGAAAATATGTGTATTTAAAAAAAGAGCCCAAGCCTCCATGTTAAACTGTAGCTCTAACAATCTGCTAGAACAGCTATGTATCTCATCCAAACCTTTGCTTAAACATACCAAAATGCAGCACAGTTTACTAAAAATGGTGTAATAAAGCCAGAAACTGCATACATAGAAACATCACAGTGATTGGAGAAAGCTTTAAAATGGTATTGGGGATCATATCATGAACGCTTGATTCCAGTCACACAGGTGCATATCACTTGAGCTAAAGGAAAATGTCTGGTAGCTAGTCTGGTAGTTAAGAGCTCAGTTTTAGTGGGCTAGCCACTAGATGAGCAGAGAGCTATATATAGTAGGAGGTCTTTATTTATATACAGACTCTCAGGCTTTAAGGGATTTAATGAGTGATGGGGTTTTTTTTAGATACATCTTCTGAACAATAAATCCCACCCAGGCTTTACTTTAGATCACATGGATCAAATGTTTTAAAGAAGTAATAAATATTGTCCTGGCTTCCAGCAGTCAAGAAAAATTTTGATTTTCCGGTGGGTTATTCCCTTGCTGTTTTGAAAGTTTAAAAATTATGGGCCAAATTCTCTTCTCTTCTTGTTCTACTCAGGTGACACAAAGGAATCTGGCCATAGTGGACTAACTGGGAATGCCCCAGTGTAATGGGGGCATTCATCTCTCCTTGCAAACCCAGCTTAAGGAAATGCAGTCAGAAACAAACTCTGGTTATCCCTCAAGTTCCTTTGAGCACAGAGGCACACCTCTCCTTAATCTGCTGATCCCTGCCAGGAACTTACCTGCTAAGGCCCTGTAGCTCCTTTTATCTGAGCCTGTTGGGCTCTTATTGGCTTCTTCCATGAGGCTTGTCTAGGTAGCCCTGGAGGTCACACCTTCGCTGCTGCTTTCCTGTCACTTCTCTGTTTTCTGGGGTGGGGTACAGTAGAACTGCTGGGCCTCTGGTAGGTGACTGCAAAGGCCAGGTATGCCCTGTCACATCCAGTTTAAGGAGGATCTGTCAGCAGGAATGAAGCCAGCAATCTAGCTCCTTTGCTGACTTCCCTCTTACCTCTGTGTAGAGGACAAGGAAAGGCACTTTGGGTGCAGTTCCACTCCATCAGTTCTTAACTGGCACGTGATCACTTATGGACCATACACAGCTGGCATACGGCAGCTGTACTTCAAAATAGGGGAGCTGTAACCAGATCTCTGCTAAGAGAAACTCTCCCACAATATTTCTTTCTCTCATTCCGAAGTCTCTAGTAACCTCTATGTAATTTGAGATAGTAATTACACTGAATAGTCTGAGTTGGAGAGGCTTGGAAACTCCCCCCTGCCCCCCCGCTGATGATAATGGAAGTTGTGGACATTCTCTCAGAATCAAGCCCTATATTTGTGTTTTGGGGGGGGCTGGTGGTTGGGTTTTTTCCCCCTAACAACTTGCTTCTGTAAAAGCATTCTCTTGCTTACACCTTGAGAACCCCTAGCATAATGATGAACACAGAGCCCTTAAGAAATGTAACAAGGTGACTGGCTCTTTAAGGGGAGAAGGGTCCAGCCTCACCTGTAACACACATAGCTTGCCTCTCCATATGGAGAAAACGTTCAAAGTCATGTGGCAGGCAAGTCATATGGCTAAATCAGGGTTTCTGGGATGGGGATAAAACAAAACCCCATGGAGAGCCAGAGGGGAGAGAAAGAACGACTTACGTTGAAAGTCCTGGTAGTTGCTGCTTGATAGAGAGCAGGGAGAGACTCTTCCTAGTTCCCCAGCAGCAGGTTTGGGGGCGCATGTCAGCAGAGAGCAGGAGTCAGTGAGGATGGATAGAGTGTGGAGAATAAGTCTGCTAGAGGAGACCTTCAGCAGGGACAGGGCTAAGAAACCTGCACCAAGGGTTGTGAGCCAGCTAGGAGGACTGGGTAGGAGTTCTTGTGTTTCCTTGGGAACTTTGTTAATAAACCCAGGTCCCAAGAAGGGGTGTTATTTGACACATAAAAAGCCTATTTTGACATTACTGGAGAGCCCAAGGTTGGGAACTGAGACAGACCAGGTAGATATGAACATGTTTTCCTTTCATCTGTTAAGATGCTGTTTTATTATTCTGCAATCTCCAAAGGCACTGGAAATCTTCACTTACTCTTCTGCACTATCACACCACTTAATTTACCTGACTCCTTTTTACTTTTCCCATTAGCAGTTATCAAGAGATTGTAACATCACCGTAATACAAAATTTCATTAATCCATAACAGCACCACAGCCACCAACTCCACAGTCTATCTTTCTTTACCGCTAGTCTTCCCCTTGCTGCCCCAAAAATCTATAGCTGTTCTGCTCCTACCACATCTGGCTGCACGAACATTCTCTTGGGAAAGTAAAATGCCTCATTCTTGATCTCACCACCACCTCTGGTCACCCTGTGTCCATAAGAAAATAGCAGAAATAGAGGGGGTTTGGAAACTGGTAATGAAAATTATCAGAAGCCTGGAAAGGCTTCTATGTGAAGAGAAGCTGAAGAGACTGGCACTGCGTAGTTTAAAGGGAGATGAATAATAGGGTATATAGTAGTTCAGAGAAGGTAAATTAAATGCTTCTGTTATCCTTTCTCATAATTCAAGGAGAAGAGGACATTTATTGTAGTTGAAAGGCAGCAAATTTAAAATTGATAATAGGTAATACATTTTTACTTAAAATAGAATTAGCCTTTGAAACTCATTTCCACTAGATGTTATTGAGACAGAGCCTGGTGGGATTCAGAAAAGGAATATCTACAGTTACGTTTGAGATTCTAAAAAACAGAAGGGATATAAACCCTCCTGCATCATGGGATAAGTCACACTTTATGTGTTGGATTTAGGAAAAATTTCCCCAGGCAGGTTATGCCATGATTGTCAACTATAGAGTTTTATACTCCTTCCTCTGAAGCATGTGGTCTGGCCAGTATTAGAGACTGGATACTAGACTAGATTGACCAGTGTCCTGATCTGGTATGGTAGGTCTTAGTTCCTAACTCAGCTCACTCAATTCGATATGTCTTCCAGCTTTAGCTCCCTATATCACCATCATTTTACTTTGCAGTATTTTCACTACTGCACTAAAAATTCTATAATTCATAAGAAATCTGTCTTTGACCCCAATACTCCCAACAACTATTACCACCTGCACAAGTATCTGAGGGGTAGCTGTGTTAGCCTGGATCTGTAGAAGTGGCAAAGAGTCCTATGGCACCTTATACACTAACAGACGTATTGGAGCATAAGCTTTTGTGGGTGAATACCCACTTCGTCGGATTCATGTAGTAGAAATTTCCAGAGGCAGGCCACAGGACTCTTTGCTATCTGTACAAGTTACATTCATTCTGTAAAATGTTGGTGAGATTAGAGAAGTAAACTTTCTCCAATTACTTTACTGCTCACCTCCTTTTGATCCAGACCTGTATGTCTTCAATCTCCTCCATGGCAAGAAACTGCTTTACGTGGACTGTTCAGTTACCTCGTCCACTTTGCTAAAGATAACTCCTTGTGCTATATATTCTTCTTCATCTCAGTGCAGCATATGACACCAATGTCAAGAAATATACTCTTTGACTGGCCTGAACACTAAGTAGATATGAGTCCCTCCTCTCCTAGTTTGGCTACTATATCTCTAATAACCATTTCTTTGTCTCTAGCGCCGACTGTGCCTTGGATTCTAAACCATTCTGCTCTAGTCTCCCAAAAACTATCTACTTCATTTGCCTCCTTTTCTTTACACTAAAAATTTCACAATTTAAGCACAACTACCACTTTTATGCCAGTAACATCTAAATCTGTCTCTCCTTTTAACTCTTTCATTTACCTTTCCCTCAACTCTCTCCAACCTCTCTGAAGCATATATATCTTTGATGTGATGTTAAATTGAATGTTAGAAAGACGGTATCCTCCACCTTTGCAAGAGAAGTATCCTCAGCTATGTCTCTAAGACATGCATTTCCTTCCTCACCTCTGACCTTCCTTGCGCTTCACAGGCCTATAATGTTGGAGTTATCCCTGACTCCAAAATTTCCACTGCAGCTCTCATTACTAATTTTTACTAGTCCACCTTACTATCATCTCTGCAATATAGTCTGTGTCTTCCTCAGCATGTACACGAAGAACTGCTTTTTTGTGAATTAGTTACTTCATGCCTTGATTATTACAACACATTTCCTGCAAGGCCTCCTAGGGATCCTCCTATCCAAACTCCAGTCTGGGAATGCTACCAAGTCTCTCATACCTATCACCTTTGTCCTGAAAGACCTCTACTGACTTCCCAGCCACTTGAAAATTGACTCATATATATATATAAGTATCCTTCATGACTATGCCCTTAACTACCTCTGGTCTCCTGTCTCTTTACTTTTCTGCTCTGCCAATTGAGGTATCCTCTTAGACTTATATTCTCCCTCTACTCTGATCCTTTGCTGCATCATCAGCTATCCTGACCATATGCTTGCCTCCCACTCCCTCACTAATTCTTCATATCTGCAGTTATTGTTAACAATCCTAAACACCATTCACTGTCTACTAAGCACACCCTCTGTATTCCCGCAGTTGACTATAACAGTTTTGTTGTAATTTGCTGTGCATATTTTATTACATTTATTAGATACATTTATTAAGGGTGTATTAAAACTTATTTTCATGATATAGCTTTTATGATACAAATGTGGAGGTAGATAATAAGTATTATGTTTTGAGAAGTTTTAGAGGTTCATTCACATTTTAGTTTTTTATCACAGATATTTTTCAAATGTGAAAATTATCTGCCTAATTCTCACCCTCTGAATGGAACAACTCTTTAAGCGTTTCTTAAAGATTCTGCATTCTTACATTGCATTCTCAATTTTCCGTTTGTATGTTCCCCCATCCCTCCCACTACTTGTCATGCTGTATCTGTGTTTAACTCCATATATCAGGCAGACAGAAAAATGACATGTAAAATCACGATCGTGACTGTACTTTTAGTTAACATTCTTTTATGCTCAAACATCATGGGCCTGCTTCCACTGCTTTGCACTATGTGTAAATTCAGTGGTCTAAAGTGATCTGTGTGGGCCCAGATTTAGGCAAGCACTTAAGCATATTTAAGAACACTTAAGCAAATGTTTAAATTGAAGTATATTCTGTAACTGCATTGACTTCAGTAGAATTTAGCCCTGTACTTAATGTTAAGCACATGCTTAAGTGTTTTGCTGAAGGGATGCTTTCCTGAATTAGGCCCTTAAGTCTGTCCAAATCAGAGGGGAACACACGAAAGGCCACTTCTTACACATGAAAGGCCCAGATTCAGAGAACCACATAAACAGTCTTAAATCCCACAGAAGTTGATGGGATTTAAGAACGTGTTTTAAGGTTAAGCATGTGTTAATGTTCTTTGCTGAATTGGAGTCTAAATGACAATACAATGTTAAAAGTTGTGGGGAATCAGGTACTGTTTTCTCTGTTTAAATATTGAGTGCTAAAATAACACTCTCATTCAGTTTCAGATTTTCAGTATTACAGAGTTCCATAAGTCCTAATTAACAAATAGAGAATAAAAATCTAGTTGTGAATCAACTGATAATTTTATGACAGGAAGCAGGAATCAAGAAATGAAAGAAATACATACATGCATATATAGATAGATAGATATATAGATAGATATTTTTACTGAATTGACTCTGGTGTAAGGTAGCTTTTAATTTTTTTTTCTTGTAGTTGGTTACACAACTGATGATTTACGATTTATCTGGCAATCTGGAGATCCTGTTCAGTTAGAAAAAATTGCTTTGCCCCAGTTTGACATTAAAGAAGAGGATATTGAATATGGTAACTGTACCAAATATTATAAAGGCACAGGTATGTAATTCTATTAACTAATTTATTTGTTAAAGACTTCAATTTGCATTTAGTTATTGTATATTGTTAATGATTAATGGTTGCATTGATAGTTTTTGTATTGCAGAAGAGGACATTAGTTTTTAACTAATCAATAATTTAGATATGAATAACACAATAACAGCCAAATATAATAACCATAAACTAATACAGACATTGAGATGTTGGAGGTCAGGTTAGATTACCTCCTTCTTTTTGTTTAGATGTCTCTGATCTTCCCATAGCAATTTCATTTCCATTGTCCTGATAAGTTTTTATGTTTGATATCTTTTCTGGTTGGTCGTTCATCTAGAACTACTCTTTCAAATTGTTTTATGGTTGAGTCATGTTAGTTTTCTTGTTTGAGCTTGTCAAATTTTGTTTCAGAATGCTTGAATATTACTTCAAACTCTTCTTCCTGCAGCTTCTAGTTTTTTTGATAGGGTGCTCTTGAAAGCATGTTTACTGTAAAAAACAGTTTACAGATCCTGTATTTGTACTTTTGCAATGTCATGATATTCTGAAATCCAGGCTCTGCTTTGTACAGTGATTTCTGTAATATGGCTTCCAGTGGTTTATTGTCTGTTTCTACCTCCACTGATTTCTGCCAACAATCATAGCTAGGAAATTGCTCACATCCAGAAGCAATGACCAGCATTTCTTTTTCAACTGAGCATGGTTTTTATTGTATTTTGGTCAGTGCTTTTTGAAACATATGTTGCTGACTTGCAGAAAGCCTCCAGCAAAACACAGAAAGGAGAGCTAAGGGGAAGGGAATCTCTGAGGCTCCCCTTAAAATCATCCAGAAACTCTGTTCTGTCAAAGGATAGTGTTTGTTATCCTGCAGGTACTGTGGAGCCATACTCTATATCTGGAGAGTTCCCAGGTAATTGTCATAATCCTCAGAGCTAATTTGATCTGAGTCTGAAGTTTGTATTGGAACTTGAAATCAGCTGAGCTTTGCATTATTTCAGGTTTCAGTGTAAATATTCCTTGGAACTATGGTCTTAACTACAACAGGAATGAATTCTCAAACTGTTAAATCTTTGCTAGGTAATCCATTGTCTCTGGTTGATTTACCATTTTAAAATATTATAGAATTACTCCACATCCAGCAGAATTATACAACTGTAAAAAGTACAAGCCAGAGGTGCTAGTCAACAGTTCTGTTCACCCCTACTTTCGGATAAGATACCAGTTTATGTAGCAGCTACAGGGGTATTTAATTCTTAAACAGTTAAACAACACATTACTCACAAAAATGCTAATAATTAGACTAAAAAAATTAAATTTGAGCAATAGGGAAGCACCAGATAATACAAAAGAGGCTGTTCCATCTTATTTGGGTGGTGAAAAATGGAATACTTAGGACCAATTGCTTGGATGCTGGAAAAATTTGACAGTTGAATGGGATTAATTGGGGTTTTGTCCTGAATAAATTTATATTCGGGGGGGGGGGGGAATGGAGTTGTGGTGTTCCCTTATGATAGAAAAATAAGATATTTAATGGTAGATTGTGAATATCTTCAGTGTTCCTCTCTTTTCTTTCTCATATGAAAGAAAGAGTTAACATTTAGAACTGGTGAGATTTTCATGAAAGTTGTTGTCAAATTTTGACTCTTTTTTATCAAAAATCAATTTATTTTTTTTTACCAACTCTCTTAATAATGTTCACCTTTGTAATAACTAGGCTTTGGACCTAACACTCCCTTGAGATGACTCTCGGAGGTATTGTCATAGGTTCTTTGCAGATACAGGGAGGCATTGCTAGGTTTGCATATTAATTTACTAAAGGTTCATATTTTGAAGGCATATGGTGGGAGAGCATCTCATTGCAATACCAAATTACAACCAATCTCATGCACTGTGCAAGGGCACCTCATTAATGTACAAACTGGATTTCAAAGCTATGGTTTATGCTGGAAATGCTTGACAGCTGCAAACATAGTCCCCGACTTTGTTCACCCATTTATGTCAATGGGTATTTGTAACATTTGCATCAGTAGAAGTAGGATTGGATCCATATGTTCTGTACTTGTCCAAGCAAAAGAAAATCTGGGGATTACATTTGTATGATAATCATTGCCTGTACTAAAATAAAAGTCCCTGCATTTCTTTTTCTTTGTGTGCAAGACAGAAATTTCTCATGAAAGTGCAAAATGGATACCCTTATGATAAATGGTGATGGCAAAGAATATTATACTCTGCTTATTGAAAGATGATACAAGGCCATTAGCCAGAGTCAGAATGAATTTGACCTAACACAAACAGCTGAACACATAAAAGTCATAAATAATGTGGAAAATAATTAAGAATTTGAAAATATCTGGAAACCATTCACCAACTGCATAGGAAGAATTCCTCAGACTAAAGATCATAAAAGGGGAGAAGAAGAATTAAGAGCATATGGATGTCTTCTACCTACAAAATAATAAGGAAAACTCTTTTCTTTCTGTTTTTGTTTGTACTTGGCTTTGTGATTATTATATATTCAAACAACTTCTAACTGTAAACTGTGTGTGTGTGTGTGTGTGGTGAACAGTTTATTAATGTAACAACATAAAAAAGAACGTATTTCCCTTTTCGCTATTTAAGCTCTATATTTAAGATTTACTTGCTTTTCACCAAATTTAGCTACTAACTGGAATAGACTAAAAGCCATGGGAAAAGTCTTGCCCTGAGATGATGACAGTGAAGTTTATGGAGTTGTTTTTATACGATCAAATCCGGTGAACATAAGACAATGTCAGTAGAGTTACATGAATTTAAATATGAGCATAATTTGGCTACTGTTTTTACCACCATATTCCTTGATCCCTTTGTTCTCTATCAGCAAATATAGGGGGCTGTGGAGTTCATTTTTACTCTTTGCTCCAGTCACTTTTCCAGGTAGTCCAGAAGTATGTTTGTGTGATGAAGTTCCATATTTAAATAAGCCTGAGCCTGTATGCCTAGTTTTTCCCAATTTTAAATGTAGAGGATTTTCTTTTAAAATTTTGTACCAACATGAAAAATTATCTTTATCAACTTTCATTATCATGGCAATTTTTATTAAGCCCTGCTTTAAGTCTCTACTTTTTGAATTTTTTTCTAATCTGAACAAGACTTCATAGCTGTACACCTTATTTTAATAAGTGTTTCCTTCTTTTTCACAAAATTGATACCAGCTGGGATTTTCACATGAGCCTAAGGGAGATAAGTGCTCTGCTCCCATTTGGCAAAATTCTGCTTTTAGAGACAGTGCATCTTTGAGAACAGAATTTTGCCAGTGTGAGTTGGGAAGCCTAATTCTTTTTGGATTGAAAACCCTAGTCTCTGTCCATGCATTCCACTTCCTTGGAATACAGAAGAATCCCCCCAGGTCCTCTTTTCTCCCTTTGGTTTTGCTTGTCCCTATTTGGCTTCCTGAATATGACCTTTCATATGCCTGTGGGAACACCCACTAGCAATGACAAAAGAAGATATTACTCTACTTTTCTTGTGTGGAAAGACTTGTAAATCTAGAGATTGATTTAGCAGCAGGCACTGTGATTTTCTCTGTTTTCTGAAAGGTCAAGTACAACAGGCCGGTCATGAGCTACAGCTCTCTTTTCATTCAGGTTTTGTAAGCTCTCACATGTGCTTCAAACGTGTTTTCAGATGAACTATTTGGTTTTGGGAAAAACAATTTATTTTAAGCCTAATTCACTGAGAGCCTTACTGAAATCATGGGCAGAATCCCCACTGATTTCAACAGGGCAGGATTCTGAGTAATGCTAAGGCATTCAAATCTGAAAAGTTTGGCCTGTAAAACATTTAGAACATTAATGTGTTTATTTCTTTAAAGGTTATTACACTTGTGTAGAAGTAATCTTCACTTTAAGAAGACAAGTTGGATTTTACATGATGGGTGTTTATGCTCCTACACTGCTAATTGTTGTTCTGTCGTGGCTGTCATTTTGGATCAATCCTGATGCAAGTGCTGCAAGAGTGCCACTGGGTAACCGACATTTACACCTACTGTGAGAACGCACTTAGCACCACTTTACCCTTTTCAGTTGCTTTGATAGCAAAAGATGGGATATTGAAAGCAACTACATCCCATTGCATGGTCTTCATTTTCACTGAAACCTTCCCATTTCTAGCCTCTATAAAACACATCTCTTCATCCAGGCTTTTGCGTAATGCCATATCTAGTGTTTAGGCACGGTATTCCTATGTCTGCCTTCTAATGTGGTTTTGAGGCAAGGAGGTTGTAATGTGTCTCCTTTCCATACCTGGAAAAGTTCTCGCTTTTATATTATACACGTATAGCGTGCACCACAGATACGGTGGTGATAGACACCTTATAGAAACTTGAATATATAAATTCATATATAATAAATAAATAAATAAATAATGGCTAATCAAGATGATTATTAAGGTGTAGAATACCTACCTCCTGCAGCGGTTGTTTGAAGATTAAATAGCAGTAATGTTCTGACGAGGATTAATGGCCACCATTACCAGACTGGCTTCTGTCTCATCAGGGCCTTGATTTATCAAAGTACTTTAACCATGTGCTCATCCTGTTCAGCAAAACACATAATAATTTACGTTAAGGTTTCCTATGGGCTGAAGTCAGGCTTAGAAGAGGTAATACTAGTCTTTGGGAGTGCTGCTGCTTCTGGTGAAGTCAATGACAGAAGTCACATTGATTTGAATGGGAACAAGATCAGATTCTTCATTTGCTACCAAGCAGTAGGGGCATAGAGTTAATTAAGAAAAAACAAACTTGACTAATTGGATTGTATGTGATACTCTAATAGATGTTAAATGAAAATAAAATCTACATTAAATATAATAAATATATTTAAAATTTGTCTTTTTCAAAGGCGTATTTTAGCATATCCATCACATGCATATGCTTTCTCCTTTCTTTTTTACTTGTCCTTTAAAAACATAAATAGCTATTTGTTTATGAAATATAGTTTATTTTAGTTTGATAGCACATGGAGTATACCCTGTTCTAACTTTATAGTGTTTACAACTTTACAAGGATCATGAATATAAAGTGCAACAGAGACAAATAATGTTTAGATGGAAGAATTTTTATGAAGTAGTATAGGGAAAATATATATTTTTGTGAAATAAAAAAATCTCTTGCAAACAAGTATTTTTCATATAGTCATTTCCAATATGATTAAAACCTGAATTTTTATATATCAACTTTTTATGCATTAATAATACAACTTTTAAAAGTAATATAGTAGAAAGGTTTAATTAATTCAACATTCAATTTATAAGAAGCATGTTGTAGATTGTACAGTATTTGAGGATTATATATATATACAAACTTCAGAGTATTTCTTGGTCTTAGTAAATGAATATATGTGTCTGTTTTTTTTTCAAATGTAATACAGCAGCATAATTATGTGGCATTTGGTGTGATCCCAAAAGGAAGCAATGGATTGTACATAATTTGCCTACTCCTTGCTCAGGAGGTTGGAATGAGTGTTATTAAGGGAGGGTTGGGACTTAAGTCCCCACAAATTACAGGCATTGTGTTTTGCAGTATGGCATCAGGACAAACCTAACTTTATAGCAGTATCCTGAAGTTTTGACTTTTTATAATCTAATGAGATAAAACTTCTGAGTGAAGTGGACTTGAGAGTATAATCCATATTGAAACAAATCCCAAGTCAAAAAATACAAATATGCTTGTAAAATTATACTAATGTTTTTCCTTTGTACGAGGAAAATTGTATTGCATATGCAGTGTTGAGAGAGATCAGAGACAACTAAATCCAACAAAGCAGAAGTAATGGGTTTTGTCAACTCCCTGTGTCTTGACTGATCATATGTCACATTGGTACAACCTTTGGAGAAGCAATTTCTCCAGACCTTAAAAGATTGCTTCTAGAATAGCTAGCTATTGAGAGCCACAAGAGGGGAGAGTGGCTACTGTCAATTCAGTCCTAAGGAGTTGGTTCAAGAAATAAATGTAATTGTGCCTAAATTCCATGGGTGGGATTTTCAGTAGCGTTTGAGTGACTTAGGAGCACAAGAGCCATTGAAAGTCAGTGGGCAAAAGCTGTTTGTTATGTTCATTAATTAATCTGGAGAATTGACATGTGTTAGTGTGGGGAATATGTCTGTGTCCAGTTATGAATTCCAGTTGGTTTTATGAACTCTATTTGTACTTGTAGCGGTCATTATGAATTAGATCAGGGGTTCTCAACCTTTTTCTTTCTGAGCCCTCCCCCCCACCTAACATGTTATAAAAAAACTCCACGGCCCACCTGTGCCTCAACAACTAGTTTTCTGCATAGAAAAGCCGGGGGGTAGCAAGCAGTGCAATTGCCTGGGGCCCCCAGGAAGATAACTTGTCAGGTCCAACTTCAGTTGTCCAACTTCAGTCCCAGGTGGAAGGGCTCAGGGCCCTGGGCTTCAGCCCCGCAGACTTCATGTGACTAGACTAGAAGAGCTGTGTTTTTTCTTTAGCTGACCAAAGGGGCGCAGACTATTGATAAAAAGTGGGCTTCTGCAAGTCAAGGGGAGACTTTTCATCACCAAGAGCACATGACTCAGCAGGAGGGTGTGGAAAAAAATGGCTGTCTCTGCCTCCTCTAAAGATTTGGATCAAATCCAGTGAGTCCCAAAAAAGGGTGAGATTAGATTAAGTTTGATTGCATTTGAGAGTTTGATGTTTTCCATAGATCTCAATTCTCTTATACTTTCTAAGAGTAAAGTCTGTTTAAGAAATTACTTTGCTAAACTGAGTGCCTTACTTTACTAGTATTTGGTGCCCAATGGGCACTAGGGAAATCAGAGCTTCGCCAGCCAGATCTGTTCTTGGGGGAGAATGGGTCTAAACAACTGGGGGCTCAGGAGGGCTATGGCACTGGTTCCTGGGCCTAGGCAGCCAGGGTTCAGGGTCCCACTGCCCAAGAGGGGTGTCACACATGGGGTCTGCAGCTGGGGAGAGCACTTGAGAGACAGAGCTTGAAACAGTGACTAATCACTACTCAGACCTGGAGGATTAGCAGCACATGGGATTCAGTAGGTGGATCTCAGCACAACCTGCTGGTATCCATCAAACGAGCGGGACTGGACAAATTTGCAGATGACATATGGTTATTTATGTTAGTTAAAACTAAAGAAGACTGAAGAATTGCAGAGGAATCTAATAAAGGTCCATAAATTGGCAGTACAGTGGCAGATGAAATTTTATTGACAAATGTCAGGTAATACACATTAAAAGGAAGAATTTGAACTTCTCATATGCCTGGATTCTAAATTAACTCTAACTATTCAGGAGAGAGACCTGGGTGTTACTGTGTGTGACATTTCCTCTGCAGCAGTTGTAAAATAAAGAGAAAAAAGTTAGGATGTGTAGAGAATAAGAGAGAAAATAATGATGAAACTATTTTAATGTCAATACACAAATCAGTGATATGCCTCTCTATGAATTCTGCTAGTTCTGGTAACCCTATCTCATATAAAATTTAACAGAAATACGAAGACAGGCCACAAATAATTAGAAACATGCAAAGACTTCCATTTGAAGAGAGAATGTGACAAGATTAGGTCTGTTAATTTACAGAGATGAGTAAGGAGACATGATAGAAGTCTATAAAATAATCAGTGTCACAAGGAAGGCAAATCAGGTGCTTCTGTGTCCCTTTTCTCATAATATAAGAATAAAGAGGAAACCAGTGGTTTTTAAAGGCAGTATGTTTAAAACAGATGACAAGAAATACTGTTTTATATAACATATAATTAACCTGTGGAACTCATTGTCAGAAAATAACATTGAGGCTGAGAAGCTAGAAGGATTCAAAAAGGGATTATTGGCTACATCCCAGTCCAGCAAAATACATGCTTAAGTGCTCTGCTGCATTAGCACCCCAATGGAAACACCCATAGTTACTTCAGATAGGAATTTAAAAAATAAGAGCTATAAATCGTCATTCTTAGGGCCATAAGCCAACCACTAGCTGACAGGGGGTTAAAAAGAAACTTCTCTGAACTGGTTATTCCATTACTGTCCACCAAGGGGTGTTTTACACATCCCTCTAAAGCAGAAGTGGGATATGTGGACAACATCCAGTATGGCAATTCTTATGTACTTGTGTTTCCTCAAACCCAGCTTTTGTTCTTAATTACTGCTTACGTTTGTCGTACAGTGCACAGACCCCAGACACTGCACACTGAGCAAAGGAACTATCATTTGCTATATGAGCATGTAGCGGGGTGAGCACCCCGCTCCAGAGAGAAAGGGGTTAAAACCAGCTTTGGGAAAGGGCTGCCCCGAAGAGCCAATCCGGGCCCGGTAGGGCTGGTATAAAGAGGGCGGTGAGCTAGGAGGCAGGCAGTCTCATTCCAGCCTTGGAGTTGGAAGATCCAGGCTGCCTGGGAGCACAGGGTACCTTCAACAGAGCAGTGCTGGGGAAGAGGCAGGCGCTAGGGAGCGCAGGCCTGGCGACCTAACAGGCTGAGGCCTGACAGGAAGACCTAAGGAGGTACTGGGGCTGCAGGGAGAGGCAGCAGGTCCAACCCCCTAGCCAATGATAAGTGGCCATTGCAGACTGCAGTTTTCCCCTGAGTAAAGGGGCTAGATGAGGACTGGCAGTGGGTAACTGAGGGGAGGTGGGCCCAGAGGAGTGGGGTTCCCTGTGTGAGGGGCAGCACCCCAAGGTAAGGGGCACTGTAGTCCAGCAGGTACATGGGGCCTATATGTGGCGGAGATAAAGGGACTGCAGAGGGGTGAGACACCAGCCCATAGAGGGTGCTCTAGGGCTGAGAGAGCTAATTCCTGGACAACCAGCAGGAGGCGCTGTGCTGGTGAGTCAGCGCTCTGCTACAGAGCAACACACAGAAATCAGGGAAGGAAGGGGAAATATTACTACTTGTCCTACTGGGCACCTCTCCCATGAAATTAAGAGGAGCCAGGTTTAGACTAGCTGCGTGGTTGAACAAGGGCTGTTTCAAAAAGAAAAAAATCCTTCTGTTGCATGGAGGAAACTATTAAGGTTCCCCCGCAAACTCCTCACTAGTCAAACAATAAAGATGCAACAGGGATTAGCTGGGAGAAAAGGAAGTTAAAGAGGGAATCCAAGTAACAGGTTACATATGGACGGGGGATTTCAAGTAAATCCAGGTATAAAAGAATCCCACACTGCTAGAAGGAGTCATGAGAGAAGTCAGGGTTAGGAGTTCCATGTAACTGGGAAAGGAACATTATGGTAGCAGGGGTGTCTGTATGTGCATGTGTGCACAGAGTAGGGGAATCCCCATAAAGGGAAATCCGGATGTGAGGCTTAGGAATTGAAATGTAACCTTAAACCTGTGAAATGCAAAGGTTGGTACTGCTCTTGGCAATGAGCAGTCCTGCTCCATATTCCTGGCTAAACCCTTTTTGTCACCAACCTGGGTCCCTAGGAGAGGGAAGAGGAACAGGTACATTCCCAACCCAGGCCAAGCACTTTTCTACTTCAACAAAATTGTGGAGGGGCTCCAAAATTGTGGAGGGGCTCTGAGTGCTCCATGGGAATTGAATATTGTTGTTTATATTTCAACTTTTGAGTTTCTTTTTTTTTTTCTCCCCAACTGTATTCCAGCATTTTGCTTTGGGCCAGTTTAGATAAGCACCTAATACAGCAGCACTCAGAGGTGCAACTTACCAAACTGTTGTCAGGTTCTCTAAGACATGTCAATGTTGATTTTGCAGCGAATGTTTATTTAATAGAATATTTCTTCTTCCTCCACCTGATTATATTCTTTCCTTGAAATCTGATAAAAAGTTCTTTCCTTTCTTTTGCTCTGAGACTGAACTTTTTACCCCAGGTTTCCAGACAAATGGAAACTAGCAGAAAGTCACTGTGGCCTCAGCTGCCCTATTGAACAAAGTGATGAAAGCTCTGCTGTAATCTTTTCAGTCAGTAGAATTTACAAGTTAGTTTTCCAACTTTAAGCCCAAGATCATAAGCTCCAAGATCTTACGTACTTCTGGGCAGTGACTGTAAATAGCTGAGTGTTTTCAGCACCTATCACATAATACTAACAAAAATAGCTTATTAGTCCGGTAAACATATTTAAAGATAGTAAAAATAATTACATATTACAAAGAATATCCAGTTACAAAGAGATGTTTACTAGCCCATATTGGTAGTCTGTTTGGCTACTAGTTAGGTGATTCAGGTTCAGAATAGGTGTTGATTTTCAGGGCTGTTGAATGAAAGTGGAGAGGTGTATTAAGCATTTTCTAAAGCATGAGCAGTAAATAGGACATAGAGCTTTATTAACTCTAACATTGCATTTACATTTCCACTCCCCACTGTTAAAAATGGGGAGTGAATCTCTAATGAGATCATCACAGATAAGTGGTTCATAATGACATTGTGAAAGGCAACGAAAAAAGGGGGATTTCTTTTATGTGCTCAAATGCTTCAGATATGAAACAGGGAAAATCATCTGGTCCAAGCACAGGGATTTTCTACTTTCACTCTTGGTCCATTGATATCAATCTGATATCTCATTAGGGCAGGAAATAAATGTATTACAACCAATGGAAAGCTGGAATTACAAGCTTTAGAATGATATAGGATATTATCTCTTTCTCGACAGTATATTGAAAGATTTTGACTTTGAAATCATATCACTTTGATTATTATCATTCCCCCCATCTTTGTTTTAGTAGCTAATATCTGACAAGCTGCCAGTGTTAGATTAATGCCTTATACTAAATAAAATCTGGGATTCTAAGGTGATGGGAGACAAATGTCTAATTATAGCAGTTCTGAATATACTGGCCACTACAATCTCACCAAAATCTAAGCAAAATAAACAACGAGGGAATGGTGTGATAAAGTCTGATATTTTGTGCCCTGCTCAGCTTAAAATTACTTTGATGGAGCAGTACAAATATTATAAGGACCATTAACATTTTCCAAGCATAAGTGGATAAGGATCAGAAAAAAAATCCCTGCATGAATTAATATTTTGGTGTGTATATTGGATAACATATGTCATCAACTTAGATGATAATATGGGGCTGACTTGACGCCTCTGCTTAAGGCCAGATTTTGAAGTTATTTACATCCATCCAGCATCACTTACTTCATTGAGGTTGCACAGGTGCAACTGAGGGAAGAATTTTACCAATAGAGATCATAGAACCAAAATGGCAATTCTAACTTGGGGAAGAGGGTGTAAGTATGCCTAATTTGACAACCATTTAGATAGTCAGCCTTTTCGACACATAAGTGTCTGTAAATATCCCATCTGCATATGACTGAACTGCTTCATTGAGATGATCTCCACATTTTGTCACCAGTGAGATGTATCCCTGCGGGTTGCTGAGCTTTGAGAACCTTCTAGGAAAGTGGTGCTCATTGGGACCATACAAAGGCCCCCTCTGAGCACCAGTCATTTGAAGCTGAAGTTATAAGACACCATGCATTCCCTAGCCACTTTATTTCCTTCCTTTGCGCAGCTAATTGTGGACAGGTTTTCTTTTTGATTTTTAGCCAAAAACCTCATTTTAACTTGTACTCTAGACATGTTACACTGATACAGACCATTTTAAGTATTTTCCATGCTGTCTAGATTCCTGGGACACCTCTGGCTTAATTCTGGGCCATCATGTTAGAGCTAAAGGATATGGAGGAAAAGACAAGGTTTTAACCGTGTATTTCATGCCCTTCCATCTTCCCGGAGTTAGATACACATACTCAAATGACTCTGTGTGTGTGTGTGTGTGTGTGTGTGTGTGTAACCATAAGTAATTTAGCATCTCTGTGTCTATCTACCTCTCCAGGCATTCAAGGTTTATTAATATTAATAAAATCCTGTCTAGATTATTAAGCCATTAGTTAACTGAAGGCATGTGTATCATGTATATTCAGCAGATAGTCATTTCTTGCAAAATATACCTGCTACATCATGAAGTTCCATTCACTCATAAGAAATGTCATCCATTAGAATCTAGCAGTATAGCTGTTTTGGGGACATGGGAAGAGCGCTCCAGCAGGGAAGAGGCTAAGAAGACTGCACAGTTTTCATTACTTTAATATATTGCTTTATTGTTTCTAGGTATCTTCTCAGTGCTCAGCTTGGCATCTGAATGTATGACTCTTGCTGCTGAACTCCCCAAAGTGTCTTATGTGAAGGCCTTAGATGTCTGGCTGATCGTTTGTCTTCTTTTTGGGTTTGCTTCACTGGTTGAGTATGCAGTGGTTCAGGTAATGCTGAACAATCCAAAGAGAATTGAAGCTGAGAAAGCAAAAATTGCCAAGGCGGAGCAAGCAGAAGGGAAAGGAGGCAATGTAGCCAAAAAGAACACGGTAAATGGTACAGGGACCCCCGTGCACATCAGCACTTTACAGGTAAGAGCTATGATATTTGATTCTCAGTCATAGTTGTTTAAGAAATATTTTTCATAGTTTTAATAGTTTTAATATTAAAAATGGGATTAGAAATAGTCAAAACGTATTATTCTTGGTGCACGATGGTGATTAATGGGCAACATTCTGAACAGTCTACCACAAATGACTTACGTTCAGATGTTCCCAGTGAAAAAACCTGAAGCACGTTTTTTTAACACCCTAATAAGATGCCTGCTGCTGTGCTTCAAGTAAATCAAGTGACAAGCAACTTTATGATGATCTTGCACTTCTAATAGCAGCTGTGACATTATAACTGGGTTTAATTCAGTCAGGGCTTCCAGTAAGCATTTATTAAGAGCATACTCAAATAGCAACAGTCTCATTGCTTTGCTTGAAATGTCCACAGCTGTACTGCATTATACATACAGAATTTCTAATCCCAGGGACCCAGAAGTCCTGGCATTTATAAATAAGGGAGATCTGTGTTTGTTTGCCTGTTAAACTGTCCCCCTCCTTTTCTTGTGCTGTTAGAGCTGATGGAGAAATCTGTTAGTTCTCATTATATGGTTATGCATACTGTCCCATGCCAGAGTTTCTATACTGATGCTGACTTTATATGGCAATAACACCATTCTTGTTCAGAGAGATGTGGACTCCACAGGCCAACCCCCACCTGTCCTAGATGATATTTAACTTGATACCTATTCCTCAGGAGGAAATATAGAGCTATACCAGGCACGAATTTGGCTCATGGTTTTCAATGACTCAACAATTTAAATGCACAAAAATACGGCTATTAGGCCAGATCCAGGGTCCTGCTAAGGACACTTTGAGTCTGACAACAAATTACCTTAAAAAGCTGCCCTAAGAAGGAATGGGAGGATTCACCCAGTATGGGGGGGATCCTGGGTTGATGAAAAGCTGACATACACCAACTCCTACTAGTCCACCAGCATTGGGAACATGCTGGGGTTGGACTATGGTATACTCCACCAATTCCCAACTGGCAGTATAGTTTCTAGGAAATCATTCTGGCTGGCATAAATTAAACCAACCCTGTGGCTGCTTTAACTTGTGCAAGGAGCCAATTTGGATCCCCAGCCCTCCCTTGATTGGGGGGAGGGGTAAAGGTGGCATAGCAACATCTTTGCTTCCCCACTCTCTGGTGCACTGAGCATGAACAGCTGGGAAGTTTGCCCCTGCCCTTTGTGTTTAGCAATTTGATGAGTACCAAATTCAGTAGTTTCCTACAATAGAATAGTGTAGATACAACATTCCAGCAGAACAGCATGGAATCTATTGATTACTTTTGTCAAAATTGATTACTTTTGTGCAGCTTAATCAAGGTTAAGATTTTAAAATGACTACGATGTTGTTAGCTAAAACACATCTATGTGATCCTCTATCCAAATCATGTATTCCTCTGATTGCATATCCCCTACCCGCTGCATGAGGTCCTTTTAATTGTCTTAACCACACTGTGTAAGAACATTAGGTGTTTCTCTGTCATCATGTCTTTCATCTGTGCTATACAATAGTAGTGTTCTGCAAAGCTTTCCTAAAAGATGGCATATCACTATAAATTTGAAGTCCTGATTTCTCTCCCCAGAAACTGCAGGGGCCTGCTCTGTGGGTCATCCATTACAGGAGCCTGGGAACGGCACTCCAAGATGGAGACTGTTTGGCCTGCACAGTTTTGTGTGTTCCCCCAAGCTATCAGGGACCCTTATATGTGAACACCTTTTTCTCCTGGTGGGAATAATGTTTGCTGGATAGGGAGAGCTGTGCTTACGGCTTCTGCTAGCCAGAATATAGGTACAAATGAAACACTGTTTTTGCTGAGAAATTTTGGAAGCATTAATGTAGTGGGACAGAATTTGGCTCTGTAATAGGGTTGTCTCCTTAAATGATAGTGGGGTTTGGGTACAGCTGATTCTCTGTTCCAAGGTGCAGCCTCTTTAAGAACAGGTGTTCTGAGACTGGTAGTTCCTGGAAAGGTCACCAGACTGAACTGGGATTAGGGACTCAGGAAAGCTGTGGAGATCCTGCATCAAGTGGGGAAGGAATGTTTTGAGCATGGAAAAGCCAAAGATTTGTGACAGTTTAATAATCCAGCTTTCAAGAGGGCGATCTACTGAAAAACCAAGAAGTAAAACTAAGACAGAATGACTGCAGTGCCACATCAGAGAGCAGCATTGTTCAGGACCTGTAGCAGTCCCTAAATTTAGTAAGGCAGAAAGCAGTTTGATGGGCCAAGGTGAAGAGACAGGCCCAGATTCAAAAAATCACTAGTGTATCGCACATCATTCAGTGGATCACAGCAAAATGAAAGACACCATAAAACAGAAGTGGACATGGGATGCATTTCTCAAATATCTACAGAACCTCAGCTGGTGTAAACTAGAATAGCTCCACTGACTTCATTGGGACAATTCACATGCTTAAAACTAAGCATTTGCTGGAGAGGGCCAAAGTGTTCCATATCCTCAACTTTTCAGCTTTAATTCCTTTTGAGCTTGACACACTTTTTTGCTTATTTCAGGGCTGAGGGAAGGAAGTCAAAACGTTCAAAGTTGGGTGCCTAAAGTTAAGCACCTGAATCCATATTTAGGCATCTACATAAGTAGTCTGATTGGTAGAGGTGCTGAGCAGGGTTGCATGCTCAGCACTTCTGCAATAAACCTACTTAGTTAGGTGTCCAACTATGGGCTTAGGTGCCTAAATTTTGGCACCCAAGTTTGGAAATTAAAAGTATGTCTGACTGAAAACTCCATATCTGAACTGCCTGACATTTTGGAGAGCTCTGAAATCCAAATCTACATTTCACAGCTGGTTTTTTATTAATACGAAGGGCTAAAAGGGAGCTCAAAAGTAGATCCAAATTATACATTTTGGGCCTATCTCTAGTACAGATTACAGAAACCATGGTGTGGAGATACTTAATGGTGAACAAAAGGAGTCATGAAGGCCAATGACCAAGAGAGGAAAACATTAAGAAGCATACAGAAGGCAAGGGAGAAATGATCTTTTAAAAGAGAGAGAGAATTTGAGACAAAAAAAAAATAGGAATGCTGTTTCAGGTGGCAGGAACTTCAAAAGGAGGCTTTCAGACCAACAGTGGGAATAGGACTGCGTGTGAGACAAAAGTGGAGACTGGCCCTAAATGTCTTGGGAGGGGTAAGCAGACAATGGATCGATGAGGTAAGCTGCAGTCAAACCCACAGAGAGCTTTCAGAATAATTAAAGCTATGTGGAACTTAATCCTACAATGAATGAAGAGGAGCAAGGGGAGGTGATGCTGCTTTCCTCGTAAGAGAGAGGGCAGCAGATTTCTGAACACACTACAGTCCTGGAGACATAGACTTGTAATGGTTAAGGCAAGAAGGACTATAGATATACCTGAAGATTTCACCAAAGGTGGAGTTGAGACAGTGGGTGGAGGAGGAGAGCTATAAACCTCAAGGGTAGTGCCAAGACTGAAGACTACAGAGGCAAAAGAAGCTGAGTGGTGGAGAGGGAGAGAGATAATTAATTGCAAATGCACCTCTTGTCCAAACAGAACTCCTTATTTTTTTACAATTTCCTTAAAGAGACTAAAACCAATTCACAAGTCAAGAAAGGCAGAGAGGAATCATCATTAAAGATGACAAATGATACTGTCTAGTTAAGTATTAGAAGAATTGGTCTAAGGCCCTGTCTACACTGGCAAGTTTGTGTGCAGTAAAGCAGCTTTGATCACTGTAATTCCCAAGGTGTACACAATGCCAAGCAACTTAGTGTGCAGAAACTGTGCAGATGCAGTGCTCTAAAAAAACCACCTTGATGAGAGGCATAGAGCTTTCTGCGCCGTGGCTACAGCGCTGCGATGCCAGTGTAGACACCGTGGTGATTACAGTGCTGCGATTGGCCTCCGAAAGGTGTCCCACAATGCCTGTTCTCACCTTTCTGGCCATCGGTTTGAACTCTACTGCCCTGCCCTCAAGTGACCAACCGTCAGTCCCACCCCATTCATTCCTTCGCAGATTTGAAAGTCCCTTTCCTGTTTGCTCGGCAATGTGTGCAATGGTCTCAGCGCATCTTTCCAGGTGGCCATGCCTGCTCCACGCACCAGACGATCCCCCGTTTGGAGCAATGCTGAACTGCTGGACCTCATTGGCATTGGGGGAGAGGAGGCAATGCAGTCACAGCTGCGCTCCAGCCATCGGAATTATGATACCTATGGTCAGATTTCTAGATGCATGATAGAAAAGAGTCATGACCGGGACACATTGCAGTGCAGGGTCAAAGTGAAGGAGCTGCAGAACGCCTACCACAAGGCACGGGAGGCAAACCGTTGCTTGGGTGCTGCGCCCACAAGCTGCTGGTTCGAGTATCGCATTCAGCTCTTTGTAGGTGGTGACCCCACCTCCGTTGCGAAGTCCCCTGTGGATATTTTGTTGACTCACGTGCCAGTCAAGAGTGGACTGAGCCAGGAGGAGGCAATCTTGGATGAAGATGGGGAGCCAGAGGCAGAGGATGACTCGGAGGCTAGAGATGCATGCAGTCAGGATCTCTTTTCTACCCTGGAGGAGCCTAGCCAGTCACAGCAGTTGGATCTTGGTGAAGCGCAAACAGGAGAGGAGGCCCCTGGTAAGTGGATCCGATTTTGGGAATTTCTGAAGAGAGTTGTTGGGGACAGGAGGGTTGCAAAAAGCAGGCTTGTCTCCCACCTCATGCTTAGTTTGAGCAGCACGAGTTGAGAGGCATGTGAAGCCCTCACTTCGCAGGAATCTCCCTCAGAGATCTCCAGGAAACTCTCATGGAGATATTGGGCAATCCACTGCTGCAGGTTCCTTGGCAGAGCTGATTTGTTTCTTGCCCCATTAACGGTAACTTTCCTCCACCACTGTGCTGTCGGGGAGCTGAGGGACCATTACTGCACACAGGCTAGCTGCATAGGGGCCAGGGCGGAAGCCATAGGCTTGGAGAAGACCCTCCCTTGATTCCCTGCTCACCCTCAGCAGCAAGATATCTTCCATTATGATCACCTCCTGTGGAAAGTGTGGGGCCAGGAATGATTATCAGGCCCACCCTACAGTGCTGGCTTTCCCCAAAAGCCATGTGCCCAGTGTACAGCAGAGTCTGGGAACAGTGATTTACCCTGCCCCTGCAGCTACTCTCCATTTTGGGGGTCTTGTGGCTTATGTGTGCTTGCCTGGGGTCAGCCACTTAGTGACAGGTGTGTGAGTACTGGCTGTGTTTTAAAGCACTGAAATAGTGTTGTCCGTGTTGTTTCTTTAAAATGTTGGATTTAAATTCACAGAGATGACCTTGGGAGCACAGCCTCCCTCTTTGTTATTGGTGGCAGAACAGTTGTGAAGAATTAGGAAGCATCCAAGAAGAACTAAGGAGGACTTTATACATGAGGTTATGATGCACTCCGCCGCCAAGAAAAAGGAATCGAAGGAGTGGCAGGATAGCGAGAAGAGGGAAAGAAAGGAGAACGCAGCACACCAAAAAGAAGCTACGGAACGGCTGTTAACAGTTATGGAGCACCAAGCGGACATGCCCCAGGCGATACTAGCTCTTCAAACCGAGCAGCTTTGCGCCTGCCCTCCCCTGCAGCCACTGTCACAAAACTCTTTCCCATGCGCACCCCCCACACTGCCAACACACTCTTATCAACCTCCTGGCTCCACTCTCTACCCGCAGCATTCCACTCCTCCCTCCTCCCAGTCCAGCAGTGTGGACTCTCTCTACCCACTGCACTCAACACCCATCCCTCTGCAGTTTGGCCCTGCTGAAGTACAGCACCCACTGCATCATACTCCAAAGAAGAAGGTTGGGTATGATCCCTGGACATACACAAATCTATAGCTGTCCTGGGACCCCTCCTCCTCTTGAGTCCTTTCCATTTCCCCATCCCCCTCCCTACTGATGATTTTTTTTGTTTGACTCTCTCCTCTGGTTGTTGTCTTTCAATAAAAGAAGTGTGTTTGTTTGAAATCAATCTTTATTCTATTAATTGAAAGCAAAAAGAGTACTGCAAAGCACCATACAATTATGTTAAGGCCCCTTCTTGTATCATGTGCACCAATCACCTCCTAGAACTACAAGTACTGCAATCCTGACCATAGCAACAAATTCATGGCTTTCAGCTTCACATTACTGCCTCAGACCATCCCTGATCCTTATGGCCATGTGCTGTGCCCCTCTAATAGCCTTGGTCTCTGGCTGTTCAAACTCAGCTTCCAGGCACTGGGCTTCTGCGGTCCAGCCCTGAGTGAAGATTTCACCCTTCCCTTCACAAATATTATGGAGCATACAGCATGCAACAATAAGCATAGGAATATCGTCATCAGCCATGTCCAGCTTCCTATACAGGCATCGCCAGCGGGCTTTTAAACGGCCAAATACACACTCCACAGTCATTCTGCACTTGCTCAGCCTATTGTTGAACTGCTCCTTGCTGCTGTCAAGTTGCCCTGTGTATGGCTTCATGAGCCACGGTATTAAGGGGATCCTACCACGATCACAGTGGGCATTTCAGCTTCCCCTATGGTGATCTTCGGGTCTGGGAAGAAAGTCCCTGCTTGCAGCTTCTTGAACAGACCAGTGTTCCGAAAGATGTGTGCGGCATGCACCTTTCCAAACCAGCCTGCGTTAATGTCTGTGAAATGCCCATGGTGATCCACAAGCACCTGAAGAACCATTGAGAAATACCTCTTGCGATTAATGTACTCGGTGGCTAGGTGGTCTGGTGCCAGAATTGGAATGTGCATGCCATCTATTGTCCCTCCGTAGTTAGGGAAGCCCATCTGTGCAAAGCCATCCACAATTTCAGGTATGTTGCCCAGAGTCACGGTCTTTCGGAGCAGGATGCGATTAATGGCCCTGCACACTTCCATCAACATGACTCAAACAGTTGACTTTCCCATTCCGAACTGGTTAATGACCAATTGGTAGCAGTTGGGAATAGCCAGCTTTCACAGTGTAATCGCCACACACTTCTCCAGTGACAGGGCAGCTCTCGTTGTCTCGTGTCCTTGCACCGCAGGGCTGGGGCGAGCTCATCACACAGTCCCATGAATGTGGCCTTCCTCATGCGAAAGTTCTGCAGCCACTCCTCGTCATACCAGACATGCATCACAATGTGATTCCACCACTCAGTGCTTGTTTCCCGAGCCCAAAACGGCGTTCCTCTGTGGTTAGCACCTCCGTGAATGACACAAGCATTTTCCTGTCATAGCTAGTATGCGTGGCAAGATCAATGTCACACTTCTCTTGCCTTTGTACTTTAAGGAATAACTCCACTGCCACTTGTGATGTGTTGGTCAGTGCAAGCAGCATTTTGGTCAACAGCTTGGGATCCATTCCTGCAGCAAGAAAGAGGCAGGGCAGGCCACGTAGTACACAACCCGTTGAAAGATGGCGCCAAATGCAGATGGAAGCAAAGGGATTGCTGGAATGCGAAGCAATGCATCATGGGGCATTGGGACAGGACCCAGGATGCCCTGCGACCCCTTCCGCCTTCCCACAAGTCTTAGCGGCAAAAGAGAAAGGTGCTCTGTGGGATAGCTGCCTAGAGTGCACTGCTCCGAATAGTGCCGCAAGAGTGAACATGCTATTGCGCAGACAGCTTTCAGTGTGAACACACAACAGTGTTTTTCCTTGGGTGCTCTCTGAGCGGTGCTGTAACTGCCGGCACTGTAACTTTGCAAGTGTAGACATGTCCTAATTTGCCATTGTAAACTGAGGTGAGAAACAGCTTTACTTCACTTAAAATCATCTGTGTAGAAAGTTTCAGCACTCAATACCTTGAGATGAGGATTGGAAATGTACAGCTTTGCACAGATCTCTGCAACACTACTTTAACAATGCAGGCAGGATCCTTTACTACAGTGGTCTCCAACCTTTTTACGCCCAAGATCACTTTTTGAATCTAAGGGAAACCCAGGATCTACTCCACCCTTTCCCAAAGCCCCTTCCCCTTCCCCAAAGACCCGCCCCACTCATCCCCCCTACCCCCGTCCGTCGCTTGCTCTCCCCCACCCTCATTCACTTTCACCAGGCTGGGGCAGGAGGTTGGGGTTTGGGAGGGGGTGCGGGCTCTGGGCTAGGGCTGAGGGGTTCATAGTGTGGGAGAGGGCTCTGGGATGAGCCTAGGCATGGAGTTGGGGTGCAGGAGGGGAGTGCAGGGTGCGGGCTCTGGGAGGGAGTTTGGGTACAGGAGGGGGCTCCAGGCTGGGGCAGAGTGTTGGGGTGAGCTTAGGGATGGGGGTTGGAGTGCGGCCTCCCACTGGGCAGCACTTACCTCTGGTGGCTCCTGGTCAATGGCGGGCGCAGCGAGGCTAAGGTGGTTTCCCTGCCTACCTGGCCCCACACCACTCCCAGAAGGGGGCAATGTGCCCATGGGAGGGACAGGGAGCATGTGGCTCCACACACTGCCCCTCTCTCAGAGGGAGACCCCTGCCCCCAAGGCCACAGGGCTGCGCTGGCCACTTTCGGGAGCGACATGGGGCTGGGGTAGGGATCCTGTCTTAGCGGCAGGCACACTGTGCTGCCTGAGATCACGATTGACTGGGAAATCCTCTAGGAGCAACCAGTCGATCACAATCGACCGGTTGGTGACCACTGCTTTATTATAATCACTCTGGCAACAAATTACCCTCTGACTCCCTCTAGTGCTTCATTAGCGTTATCAGCATCTTTAATAAAGGTCTTGGGCCCCAATCATTATCTTGAATGCAAAAAAGCACATTAGTAGGAAAGATGTGCTGAAATTACACCCAAAAGTAAACATCCAGAGTGCACCCAAACCATTCTTCTTAGTATGGCAGATATACTGCCCAAATGGGGCTTAGTCTAGCAACAGGTGTTATTCTTATTTATTTATTTATTCATTCATTCAATTTATAATCAATGAAACAGAATCTATCCTGTGTTCTGGGAACCTGTGACATTATTAAAGGTACAGATAAAAACAGTAACTTCCCCTCATCCCCAAACTAGAAAATAACCAACCAGAGATTAAAATCAAACGCAAACAATACCCAGGCTCACCCAGAAATGCCAGTCCTTATCACTCCTCTCAGTCCCAATCTGTATAAAATGGTGGCCTTTGCAGCGTGTTCTAAAGGTTAAGATTGATGCTATTTAGGACTGAGAGTGGGGAATGAAAGTAAATTCCAAAGTCAAGAAAGCCCCTCCCTGGTAGAAACTCCCTCTTTTAAACCGATGAGAGCCTAGCTTGAGTTTTTCTGTTGATTGCACCTGTGACAGTATAATAAAGGGATCATATATGGCGTGTCCCAAGAAATTGTCTCAATTTCTGAGCCAGAGGAAGATGGAGAAAAGCCTTTCTCTTCAAATCTGCACTCAGAACAGCAGGGGTTTCAATAACAGCCTCAGATTGTGAACTCTAGAAACAAAAAGTGGGTACACATCCATGGCTGAGAGGACAGATAGAATTATTGCTGGATTTCCAGATGTTCCTACCAGCATCATCTTCCCCGGACTACATTTCAGATAGCTAAACGTCCTCTCTACCCAAACCCTGGATGAGGTGTTCAGCAGCACTGACTGAATTGGATGAGAAGGAGAAATAGAGCTGGGTGTCATCAGTCTATTGCAATCCTCACAGCCTCTTTACTAACCCTCCCAACTGCCATAGAGTCATAGAGTTTAAGGCCAGAAGGGCCCATTAGATCATCTCGTCTGATCTCCTATTTATCCATATACATACTGAATGAAAGGAAACAAGATGGAACTCTGCAGAATTACCAATGAAAGAATTGTTCGTAAAGAAAACCAATTGCCCCAGATTATCTTCTAGAATCTCTGAGAGTTAAGACTGAAACATGTAAAGGGAAGTGCTGTCTTAGTCTGCTAGGGTTTACAGATATGTTAACAAGGCCTCATGATCAGTGCTATCAAAAGGCGTCTGGTAGATCTAACAAAATCACCATCTCTGTGTGAGAGAAAACAAAAGAAGAGTCAGTTGTTGTTATAGCTTTTGCTAGTGCAGAAAGCTCTAAAGCATATCAATCTATGCATCAAGAGCCACCTTTACCCACATTTTCTCTCACTGGTTCTAAGCATGGAGAAAATTTTGATAATCTCTGATGAAGCTTTGTGGTCACTTTTTTTTTTTTTTTTTAGCAAAATCTGACTTTTTAATGGGAACCACCATGGGAGTTTGATTTTTTTTTTCCACTGCAGAGTAACGTCATATAGTGAGAAAAACAGGGAAAAGGAGAACTGTTTGCAAGATGAGTCATCTTTTCTTTGCTACCACTGGTGGTGTGATTGCAGAGAGAGATTATGTTGTTAACTCTGGAAAATCCTCCTGGATTTGAAAAGTCACATTTTCATCATGCCCATTTATAGAAGTCATCCCACACATGTATGCTGATGACTGAACTGGACATTTGCTAAAAGAATAATGACTTTGGCAGATGATGAATGGCTCCCTTAAGGTACTGATAACACTCCCAATTCAGTCAGTCTTAAGGAGAAATAGGCATATTTCTTGCTAATCTTCTCAGAGCATTGCTAACATGTTTCTGGGCTTTGGCGTCTGATGCATATTATATTCATCTATGCTGATTTATAACATATATGATTATTCCTTTGATCTTACTAAAGTGCTTTTTCCTTCACCTGTGTGCAAGAGATTTTTCTTGCAGATTCATTATGTGCACAGTTTTGACCTTGACAGCTAAACCGCTGTTTATTTATGTGAAAGCAATGTTAAATACCTTTTACCTGTTGCTGACTTCAAGACAAGCAGACCATGGGCACCTTGGATTTTGTTGGTTTGTGTCTTTTGTGGCTAAGCATTACTTTTGACGCTATTGCTCTGCCATAAAGATGGTTTAGGGACAGGTGTTGAGAATTTACAGAAGAGATGGTACTTAAGTATCATACCAATTTCCTTGATAAAACGCAAAAAAACTTAGTCAAACTG